TTTTAAACAACAATTAAAAGATAAACAAACAAAAGTAAATACAATTTAACAGAAATTAATTGTTAACTATTAAAGAAACACAGTTTTAAGGAATCAGCAACAATTTAATCAACTAAACTGATTGTAAGTGTTGATAGTAAACCCGAAACATGTTGATCATGATTTACAATCAGCATATATCGTAATGGATAAAACTAAATTAACCCTTAATTTTGTTCAATTGATGGATTCCGTGATTAGATTTTATTTTTCTTAATCATGATGATGATTAACAAATAAACGAAATGAAAAACATCAACAGTTAACAATCAGCAATTCACTCTCTCTCCCTTCCTGAATAACCATGCAAAGAATCAGCATCATCATTATCATCTTAATCTTCCTAATCATCATCATCATCATTTCTCTTTCTAATTGGTTTAAAACAGATTATTTCAAAAGTGAAAGAAAAAAACTAATACAATCTTCATCTCTATCATCAATTGTTGATCAATATCATTCGGAAGTTAATCAGTAAACAGAAAAAAAACTTTTGTTCATCTTCATGATGAGAGATTTTTTTTCCTCTATGATTATTATCATGAAAATCCGTTTATCATCATGTTACATGATGATGTTGATCTGATGAAGAAGCTGAATTGATAATAATTCAATCTTGATGTTTCAGCTTTTGCATTGAATCACATTATTATTATGATAACTGTTGTTTGATTGAGATTGAATTTACAAAATGAACACTTTAATTGTTTAAATTAATTAATCAAAAAAGAAAATGATATAAACAATTAACTTTATAAAATAATAACCAATGGGAAGAGATGATGAGGATGATTAAATAGCGTGAGCATATTTTTTTTTAATTTGATTCGTTTATCAGTGATGATTAAGAAGATATTTTTTTCATTGATTTTTTGTTTATTCTGATGAAGAAGATAAATAATCTATCATCATCATCATCTTTTTATCCAATGTATTTGTTAGATTACTTTTTTCCCTATCGATCTGATTGAGAATCAACGATTAACTAATTAATGATTTTAAAGGTTAATGAGTTTTTACTTTAATGTATCTACAACAAAGAGAGAGAGAGAGAGAGAGAGAGAGAGAGAGAGAGAGCAAGTAAGATGATAGATTATACATTTAAGATGAATAATATTTGATGAGGATGATGAAGATTTTTCTTTGTATTTTCATCTTAAACGCGTAACCACAGAAGCGAAAGGTAAATTACAATGAAAGCACTAATAAACTAGGCTAATATCTTGAGCTTTAATGAGCCTCGCGGCAATCAAAATACATCGGAGGTCTTTCTCATCATCATAATCTAAAGATTTATCTTCACGAACTTATCAACTCCCCTTGGACCTTTTATTAAGTCTAAACAATTAACTGATTGTCTAATCAAAGTTAACCATCGAAAGTAATAAAAACAAAGTGGTTTCTATTACATTTTCGTCTCTCTCTCTCTCTCTCTCTCTCTCTCTCTCTCTCATTTCTTTCCTTCTAATCATCTTCGTCAATCATCTTCCTCTTCCTTTTCCTCCTCCCCTTAATGAATTATCCATCTGATTGTCAAGATATAAGATTCGTAGGCCACCTTCAAATCAATTTTCTTCATCATCTTCAAATCATCTCACTAATCTCATCTCAATTTCCAATCTCTTTGTTAAATTTTTCCTACTGATGATGACGATAATACTTTCATTGATCTTCATCTTTTTGATACTAACGTTGAATCTAATTTTACGCTTATTTGTAAAATTCTTAACAATCATCTTCATCATCAAGGCCTCTCTCTCTCTCTCTCTCTCTCTCTCTCTCTCTCACCATCACTTGACCACTCCTTTAGTTTAAAACTCCCAACAGTAGTCAAACCGATCAATGAAAAAGCTCAGGTATCATCAGCAATTTTTCATTATAATAGACATTGATATCCACGCCTTCCTGGTTATAATTGCAACACAAAATTATCATCATCATCATTTTAATAATTTAAAGATAACGCTAATAGTTAATTGTGACCTCCATTAATAAAACTAAATCTATTGATTAATGTTCATTTCCCTACAATCAATTGATTGACTGACAGTTGATTATTGCACTTTTTACAAATTGATTCATTTAATTCAATCAATTTTTCACTTTGCTTAATCAATTGTGTAATGGATCATTGTGATTAATTCAAACTTAATTATTAATTGTTCCATTAATCCAATGAACAATTTGTTAATTGAAAATTGTTTTCTCCTTCTGTTGATGCTTAACATAACTTGCAAATCATTTCAATCAACATCAAAATGGTTACAACTTAAATTTTATGATTAACTTGTAATTGTTGTCTCATTTGATTACAATTTAATCAATTAATCAATTAAAATAGACCGTAGATAATATAAAGCCTTGATTTTATCTTCTTTCATCATAATTATCTTCATCTATTTATGTCCTTTGGCAATGTCTTAATCACGTTTTAAATTAACTTAACCAACGCCTTAATTATAACAACTGACCTCAAGTTAACTGTGATTAACAATTAAGTTGATTCAAAAAAGTAAAAGCAAAAAAAAAGACTTGGGTGTTTTATTTATAAGACACAATTTGATTGTCAACAATTAACGTCCACTGAGATTGTTGATTGTTGATTGTTTGTCTTATTAAAGTGAAATAATTGTGACCTGTGTTCTGGTTATTGTTTAATTTCATTCATTGGAACTTAAATTGTTTAATCAATTGTTATTCTGTGTTATCATCAATTATCACACAATCAACATAATCTTAATCAACAGAAATTAAAAGCTTTGTTGATTAACTTTAAGGTTAAAAACTTTAACAATGACAAAACGTAAACTTATAAATGTACAACCTGAGATACAATTGTAATTAACTTACCTTAAAATTGGTTTAACCATTTTTAATACACAATGACAATTAACAAAGTCTAACAATAACAATGACAATGACAATCTATTTAATTAGTATGATGGCAAAAATATTATCAATCTTTATCTTCATCATCTGTGAAATATTAATCCATGAGAGGAAGATGAAGATTAGTAAATTACCTTTAGGAGGAAATGGTTGATGATTAAAAATTATACGCATCTATGATTCCCTTTTGACAATTTAATTGTTGCTTGATTGTTGTTTGATAATCATTAAATCATACTGATAGTCAAGGATAGAAAAGGAAAGTGAATAAGAAGACGATTTACCTTTAATCATTTACTATTAAATATTATCAAAGGTAAATTAGCATCTTATCACTAGAGCGATTCAAAGATGATGATGATGATTACCTTTTCCGAGAAGATGATGGAGGAAGATAAACTTCCTCTTCTTCCTCTTCTTCATCTCTATCATCATGTAATATTTTACCATCGCTGATTATAATTATACTGATTGTCATCATCATCTTAACCACTGCCATCGGACTCGGTTTGGTGATGATTATGGTCACTTGGTGTTAATCCAGTTCCGGTTATCATGTTTAATTGTATTAACATTTTATGAGGTTTAAATATCAAGTTGATTGTAACAAAACCAGATAATCTTGATTAACCTTCATGGATAATACAATCATGAGAATTGATAATAATCTTGATTGAGAATTAAATTTTCTTGTTGTTTTGTTTTGATTAAAATGAATAATCAATTGATAAAGAAAACAAATCTCTATCTTGATTGATAATTTCTCATTTTGCAAGGTTAACAATTATCATTTGATTATCCAAGTTAAAAGCTAATCAAAAGACACAGTTAATTGTTAATTCAATTGAATTTTATCATAATAACAGTTAGAACACAATTATTACCAATAAAATTTGATTTACTGTTTAAATCAGGAAAGAAGAGGAAGAAAAATATATTCAGAAATCAAATGAAATCCAATTATCATCATCATCATCATCCTCATTGATTGTTGATTGGATATGATTGTTGTTAAACTGATTAACGTTTGAAGTTCAAATGATTGGATCAACAATTTAACATTGAACAACAATAAAAGTAACACTAAATGATTACAGTTAGTTAATTTAACTGTCCAAAGTTGGGAAATGTTTTACTTGAAAAAATTATTGGCTCAATTGATTCTGGTGGTTAACTTTATATATTATTACATGAAAGTTACATGAATCATTCAATTGTAATCATAATCAAAGAGTTAAAACTGAAACAATCAACAGGATCAAATCCATGATTAGTATTTGGTATCAATGGCCTTACAATATAATATCTGCAATCCACTTACACCATGGTGATAATGATTTTCAGGAATTCACAAGAACTTTTTTTTCTGATTGTTTTCACAATCAATGATTATCATCATCAGGTTACAGTTAAGGTTGATTAATCAGAAAAATGATCGAAAATAAGTAATTTTTTTCTCCATCATCATCAACCAGAAATTTGGGTCTTTCTGTTTTCCCTATTGTATAATCATATGTTACTGACCATCACTTTTACCCAATCAGAAAGCAAACACTTTTCGAGACTATTTGATAACAATCAATTGATTGCTGACGATGAGAATAACTAATTGAAGTAAATTCTAAACATTTTCTTATTTTCATTAATTGAATTGTACAAAAAGAACTGAATAGTTTCCTGATTGTTAATATTTTCTCTTCCTCTTTTTGTTTTCTTATGATTCTACAATGTCACTAACATCTTAATCATCTTCATCTTAATCATCATCACTTTTAAAGTCCACAATCAAGTAACATTACGATTGTTATTTTTTCTTGTTCCTCTTTCATCATCATCATCATCATCAAAACTTCATTCAGTTGATCATCTTCATGTATTTTATCATGTAACTAATTATGATGATGGCGAAGAGAAAATTTTTTTGACACTTAACAATTGATTCTTAATCAATTGTTTAGTGTTATTCAATCAAAGAAAAAATTGAATTAACAATTGCATAAATATGATGATGATGATGATGATGAGTAGGAGGAAGATGAATTGAGAGGGCGAAAGACAAATGATGAAGATGGAGCATTGATTTTTAGGCCAAGGCTCAATAGTGACCGTTGATGATAGTAATTATGATTTTATTGCCATTATTGTTGTCTAACTGTAATTAACAGTTAATTGTACACATATACATGAATATGTGGCTATTTATGTATTAATAGGAGCTTTGTACTCAATAGGATGATCACAATTAACAGTGAAAAAAAATCTTTTTGCTACTTTACTCCAACACCAGGCAACTTTCTGAATGAAAATTTGTTTTTTTCATCATTTCTACGATATTAAAAGTGTGTGTATACAATTAAATACCCAAGGTAATCAATAAATTGATGTAATTCTGAGATGATAACAATCATGTTTATATCATGTTGTTGTGAAATAGTAATCATTTTGATAATAACTTCCGTTGTTTTTTTTTCACTTAATGTAAGTTGATCATGATGGTTAACTAGAAAAAGGAAAAGAAAAATAAATTGATGAAAAAAAGAAGATGATTTTCACTTGAACTTACCTGGAAATCCTGAACAATTTGATGACATTTTTAATAGTAGATTTATTGTAAGAAAATTGTACTATTTTTTGTTATTATTACTTCTGGTTTCCAATTGATAATGATGATAATCTATGAACCGTTAATGACAATGATCGTTGATGATTTTGATTCCTCTCTCTCTCTCCCTCATGATTCTGATCTTCATCATGTAAAATATAACAAAGATAATCTGATGAAAAAAGATCAGATAAAAAATGATGGGAGAAAGAGGTAATGATGATGGGTCGTTATGGGACAAAAGGATTATATATCAATGTGATGTCATTTTCATGAAGATCATGATTGTGAACAATCAATCTGATGAAAAAGAGGATTAAAAACTCACCTTGATACACTTGGATTAATATTGTTACATTTTTTTTGTTCTTGTCCTTGTCTTATTGATACAAAGGTTAGAACACTTTGACTTTTCTTGGTTGATTGTTGTTTGATTGTCTTTTTTAAATTGTCTCTCAGTATTTTGTCACTTTATTGATCCACTGATTTGAAAGATAATTAACCAATCAATTTACCTTTTTCATTGTTTTCTTTTGTCATTTAGATGTACCCGATATGCCTGGACAACCAATTATCATGGGATTTACTTCCAGATCTATTAACGTCTCTTGGCCTCCATCTTTCAATAATCACAATAGTCCCATTTTGTATTACATTATCCACGTTAGGTAAGTCTACTAATTAACTAATTAATCAAATGAAAGTCACTCATTAAGGAAAATAATATTTACCCGCTTTTTTTTCAAACCAAAAGTCAAACACTCAACACTACTAACGATCTCTACCGAGTTAAAAGTTAACTATTCATCGGCACCCGTTGAGCGGTAAAATGAGAAATCAGTTAACCTTAATTGTTAATTTGTTTCTTTTACCCAATCAATAAATTAACAGTTGATTGTCCTTCTTATCACTGTGAATACAATATGAATAGCTAATCAAACTAGTAACAGTTTTTTTAATTACTTTTCAGTTAATCGTTAGTTTTTTTTCACCTAAATTGTTGCCTTTAAAGCTAACATTTAGTTAATTACTTGGAATATAAAATGTAGATAATTAATTATTAATCACCATCTATGTATCACATTAACTGTGAAAGTGTTAATACTGTCAAATTATCAATGGTAATTAGGTGAAAATTAATGTTATAAATTGAACAATTTTGTTTCATAATCAATTTCAGACAATCACTAGGTTGAAGTTAATCATTGGTAAATTTGACACAATCAAAATTGATTGTTCATCCTTATGGCAAAGGTAATTTAATCAAAATCCTAAATTAGGTCAAAGCTTATTTACTTGATAATGTTAATCCACTTTCACCCTAATCATTAAAATAATACATAAATCAATCAATTTAACTAATAATAATGAAGGTAAAAGTCAATTTAGTAAATCAAGTTTAATAATGAGATTTAATAAATAACCAAGTTAATTGTTTTTTTTTTGTATCGGTCAAAGGGTAAAAAGTTACGAAACAATATTTTCATTTAAGTGACCTCAAGAGTCTTGAAGATATTTCAAGTTTATCATTCAATCTGGACTCGATTTAGATTCTTATGAGTTCAATCAATGAAGAATATGATGATGATGAGGATGATAAAGACTTTTTATCATCCTCATCACTTTTATTTCTGGTTACATTGGAAAAGGAAGAAAAGATGAAAGAAACTCATTCGTCAGTAACATCGATTTTCCTTGTGAGTAGAAAAGGATAAAGTTTATCGATTGATGATGAAACTGATGATAATGATGAGGAAAAGGATGCTGAGTAAAAAGGAGGAGGAAAAAGCATATAATTCAAAGAAACTAGGTCAACCAGGACCATTTTTCTGGTTCCCATGTAGCTCTTGTATTTTTTTTCGGGTTCCTCATCACTTTCTGCTTATTCCACCTTCTCTCCTCTTTTTTTATCATCCTCATCATCCTCCCACTCCTCATCTTCTCATCACTAGTAAGATAATATTACAGATACATCTATCTTAAGAGTTATCATCATACTCATTATCATCAATTGTTATCATTACCATTTGATATTAATAAACATACATGATAATATTAATAGTTACAATTTCAAAATCGCTCTGTTCAAATTGGGATGTAATTTAATTCCTAATGATGATCACCTCATATACTTCATATTATCAACAATTAACCCAAATTATTAATAAAACTTGATGAAAATATTGATGAGAAAAGAAATGGTCAAACATTAATACTAATTGCTAATTATCAATCCTAATTGATTAGTCAAAAAAAACCATCAATTTAACTTAAAATTAAATCAGCAACTTTTAAATAATGATGATTAATTAATTTTCAACCATATTCAAAGTCACAATAGACGTTAAATTAACCATTAACAGTAATAGTAGCAATTTAAATTGCTCATTCAATTGTGATAACAAGAAAAGGTTGAATATCATTAGGAACCATTGGGAAGAGTAAAAAATGGGCTTGAATTTTAATTTATATCAAATTTATCCAAATGATTTAATAGTAAAAAAAACAAGGTAAATGAATAATATTCACAGGGAGAGATAGTGTTGAAGTTGTTTGTTGGTGGATGATTTGAAAATGGCGAAAATGAAATGATAACAAATATGATTACTATTATTATCGTTGATTAATGAGAGTTTCAAGATGATTATGATGAGGATGATGATGATGGTGAGATAAATGATAGATATTATTATATGTCTGGTGGCACAGAATTTTGTCTTAATTTGAATTTCGCCAATGAATCAGCTCTTTGGAATCCATTCCTGTTGATTGTGATTAGAATTGTTTGGATAATCTTTGGGATTTAAATTTCTTATAATAAAGTTATCGCTGCTTCGAGACTCTAATGGTTGACTGTATTTAGGAGTTGAAGAGTTAATTGTATCTTTATCTGTTGTTACCTTTCCTTTAATTGTTGGAATCCATAATGAATCAGTTGAAAATTTAGTTGATGATTCAATTGCTGTTGATTGAAGTGTTTTCATTAATGGTAATTGTGAATTGGTCTTCTCAATTGATTTAATTGGTACAGGATAAAGTATCATCTTATCAACACTTGATCTGCCTTCCAAATTATATAAGGATGTAGGTGATGATGGGTTGAGTGGTGATGGTGATGGTGTGTGGGTGAAGGTTGAAGTTGATGGAGACAATTTCATAGGTGATTCTGTGTCTATACTTTTACGGTTAACTGGAGATAATAATCTTGGAATTGGAATATGATTTGATGATGATGTTAATCGATTGTTAATTTGATTTAGAGAGTTAATTTTTTTCCTATTTCCCAGAGCAATTTGATAATTTTTGGTTAAATCGTTCAATGAAAATGGTTGTTGAACAAGAAGATTATTATTATTATTATTATTATGATTTAATGATTTTGTTACTATTCCATTGAGTGAATTGTGATGAATTGGAGATGATAAAAGTGGTGACAATGATGATAAAGATGAATCAAGTTTAGGATTGAGAAGGACAAAGATTATCGGTGGTCGTGGAGTGGTTAAAGGTTGATTTTGCTGTTGAATTGGAGATTTTATTTGATTGGATTGTTGAGATGTTTTTAATGATGAAGATTTTACTGATGATGGTGATGCGGATGAAGATAAATTTGGAGGATGATGGAAGAAAAATCTTGCCTTTTTCATGGTCTCAATTAATCCTGGACTTATGGTTGGTAGTAAAGGTAAAGGTCCTTTGGGAAGTTTAAATCCAAGTCCATTGTTGTTGTTTATTTCTTTGTGGATGTTGGATGATTTTGATTTACCATCGTTGGGACGAGAGCGAATCCCTGAGCCCACCGGCCAGATTATCGGAGTGGGAAAACGTTTCCAAAGATTTTTAATCTGATCACTTTTACTGGACAAAGGTGATGAGGTGCTAACGGGAAAATGAACTTTATCATTAATCTTATTGATTGTTGACTTGACATTTTGTTGAAAATCATTTGATGGTTTTGTTGTTATGCTTTTAATTGCTGGCGATGGAGTGGTCAAGATTAAAGGCTCCTGAGGTGTTATTTCAATTATCTTCAGGTAGATTTCAGGTTTAGATGAAGGTGCTGTCGGATTTTTTGAATGGGCAGATGAAGATTCTGGATAAGAAGATATTTGCATATTATCAGCTGATGTTGACATTTGATTGTTGAAGTGTGTGGATAAAGGTGATGATTTAGTCTTTAAAATTTCATCCGCATCAATTTCTGATATTTCCGGCATCATGTAATCAATTAGAGTTGGAAATTGAGATGTAACCTTGGTAATATCATGATCCATTAATTCAATCAGCTGATTTGATTCATGTTGATTACCCTGATTATCATTACCATTTAGCCAATAAAAAGGTTTAATTGGTAATATTGATTCATTTGTATTAATAGAATCAGTTAATCCAAATAATGTTTCATTAGATAAATTACCAAATTGATTAATCTGATGATGATGATGATTATGATGATTATGATTATCAAAAAAATGAAATGGTAAATTGTTTGTATTCATTTTGAATCCATTGTAATCAAAATTATTATTAATATAATTTTGATTATCAATTTCATTTTTATCCTGCTGATGAAATGTACCATCATTAAGAGTTGTAGTTAATAATTGTGAAATTATGGTTCGTTGATCATCATTTAATTGTCGACGTAATTTTTCAGGTAAACCAGGTAAACTTTTACCTATTTCACCTTTACCATTGGGTAGGAGGGTAACAATTTGTCCCTGAGAAATCATGGTTGAGTGTTTATCGTCACTAATTAAGGTTGTCTTTCTATTATTATCATCATCTGAATTACCATGTTGAATGAATAATTGAGCTGATGATGATCTCTTGATTCGTGAGTGATTAGTTAATTTAGTCTCTGTATTGTTATTATCATTTGAAGAGGTTCCAATCATTTCCACTGATTCTGATGATGATGGTGAGTTATTAAGTTGAGTATCTGCATGAGTGAAAATGAAACAAGAAATAGTCTAATTAATTATCGTGTAACAATTTAAAACCAACAACAATAATTACCATTGACAATTGAAGGTTTCATTTGCATTTCAAATTCACTTGAATCATTTTGTTTCAATCTTTTAGCATATGAAATTAAAGCATCTGAAATAATGATTAATTTGGAATAGAGAAGAAAAAAATTACTAATTATTGAAAATGAATTTAAGATAATTTAATAATAATCATTACCTTTAATTGTAATTGTTGATCCTGATAATCTAACAGGTAACCTATTTGAGTTGATTGTTTCAACAGAATCAGAGTAATTAGCATTTATGTTTGATGATTGAGCTTGATGTTCAGTTGATTTGATTGGAAATGAATTTCTGTTGATTAGTTGATTGATTTTAGTTGCGATGAAACCATTTGATTCAAGTATTGATTGCGATTGATTTGAAGCTCCTATGGTAAAAGATAGAGTAGGTTGGGTCATTTGGAACAAAATTTCGGGTTATTATTGTTTTTGATTCTTGAGTAAATCACAATCAGCTGGACAATTTAAATTGCTGTAAAAAATGAAGAAAGCAACAATACACACACACAGACAATTAGGTAAAGTTAACAAACAAAATACATTATAAAGATGATGATGATGATGATGACGATGATGATACAATTATAATATCAATTGACATTACAGATATAAAGCAAGATACATATAAAAAAATGAACAAAAAAAGGATAAAGCTGAAGCCAAACCACATAGAGAAAATGAAATTACCATAATACAAAAAACAGTTATAATGACATTAAATTGTACAAAAAAAGTTACAACAATTTGTTAAATTGTCACAACAAAAATTTAGGTTAGTTCATCTTTGAACACAATAAGCTTAGACTGAGTTGACAATGAATATACAATGGGAAGAGACATGGAAAACATTAATATACTTGTCATGGTGATGAGGATGAAAAGGTGAAGATATCATGAAGATGATGATGATGATGTTTTGGTGACAATTGTGAAAACATGAACTCAGGGGAAGAGGTAATGAGATTTGAGGATAACATTGAGACACATCGGAAAGGATTTCGGATTGTGTGTTGATATGGTTAATTAATTGTGGTTTGTTGTGCGTTTAGATTTTGTTTTTAAAGTGGGCACAGGGTGGGAGTGGATTTTTGTTGTTGTGACAATATAATGACAATTAAATTTGACAGAACAATTGAAAAGACAAACACAATATTAAAGTGCTTATGACATTGATCTTGGTCTATCATTGATTAACCTTTAATTTTACCTTGATTGTTATTCATTAATCCTCCACGAGTTTGATCGTTTGCATTTCGACGATCGATTTCAAAGTTTTTAAATTCTTTATCTTCATCGTCGTCAATTTCGCTATCGGTGTCACTACCATCTTCATCAGCTGATCCATCGATTCTACCTTGATTTTTCACCTTGTTTGAATCACCGCCATTGGATTTACCATCTTCACGGCGGAGTTTTAATCCACCCATTAATTGAGAGATTAGAGCTTGATTTAATTCATCCATCAGATTATCTTCCATGTTGGGATTATTTTCATTTCCATCTTTCATTCCCAAATATTGATTGAGTAAATTGGAAACATCTCCATTGGTTCCTGAGTTACCACCGCCATTACCACTTCCTAAGCCTCCTAAAAGATCAGCTAATCCACCTTTAAGTCCACCATTTCCACCAAAGCCATTCATACCATTAGAGGAGCCGGGAACTCCGCCAACTCCTGACGGCGCTGGTATCTTGATCCCAGCTAATTCGGACATTGCCGTTATCGTCATTGGATTCAAACCGTTTAGCCCTCCATTTGGGAAGGGAAGTTGTCCCATTCCCCCTGAACCTCCAACGCCTCCCATACCTTGAATCGCTATTGGTCCCATTAAAGGTCCAGCTTGACCCAAATGACTTGGACCAAAACCAGGGTGAGGAAGAGGCATCATGTGTTGGTGGTGATGGTGTGGTCCATGTGGACCGTTAGGCATATGTGGATTATGTGGATTATGATGAGGAGATTGAATGGAAATTGGTTGACCTGTTGGACCACGGAAACTTTTAATTCGTTTCTTCATTTTATCGGTAAAATCTCGATACATTTTAGAGGCCACAGTTTTCAAAGGTTTCATCTTGTAGACAACATGTTTAACTGAATCAACGACTCTCATGAAATCTTTCATTGTATTTTGATGCCCATAGGGTGAGGGTCGATTGGCCTGTTGATAATCATTATTATAATATTCTTGACCACCACCACCACCACCAACAGGACGTCCACCAACATAACGGAATTTATCCTTTGGTTCGGTATCATAATAATTGTGAATATATTCATGAGGTGATTTAAATCCAGTTGGACCCATTCCTCCTAATGGATCAAGCGATTGGACAGAATCAAGGGGAAAAGAAGACAGAGAATTGGAAAACCCGTCAGCGGAATTAGCCAAATTAGCCATTGCTGTTGGATCTGGTCCTCCATGAAGACCACTAATTGAATCAGGACCACTAGTGACCGTGAAATCAGCTGACAATCCAAATCCACCTCCAGGTTCACCAGGAAATTTACCATAATTCATCATACTATTAGCAAAATCACTTGTAAACTGTGAACCTGAAAGTCCAGTCGGAGGTGGACCAGTAGCCGTTGGACCATTTACTCGAGTATAACTTTCCGAATCTTCATTATTGGTGTTTTCTTGATTTGATGAATGAGCAGTTTGATAATTATTCGTGTTATAAGGTTGATCGCCATCTTCTTGGCCACTGTTTCCACCGCTACTACCATTTCCATTGGCAGATTCATCATCGCCAGACTCAGATGAACCCGATTCGGAGGATTGAGATGATGTCAAAGGAGTGGGAGCTGGATTGAATTGTGAGGATCCGGGGGGTGATCCAGAGTTGGGTGATGAAGCCGATGAAGATGATGAGGGAATCGAAGCAGATGAAGATGAAACTGCTGAGGAAGATGAAGACCATCCTTCATTTGGATTATGTAAAGACGACGAAGGTGGTGGTAACACTGATGAAGAGTATGATGATCTCATTGATCCTCTGGACGATGTTGGTGCTGCATAATAATCATTGGTAAACGGTTGATATCGATTTTGACCTAAACCTCCGTTAGAAAAGTGACTGGTCATCGGATAAGCTTTTGGTCTCAATTGATTACGAAGCTGTGCCACCATTGCATCAATTTCACTTGAATTGATTGGTCGCAGGGGATAAGGTATTGGTGGACCACTTGGTCCGGAGGGACCCGAAGAAGAGCTCGAACCATAACCACCAGAACCCGAAACAGGTCGACCTGGATACGATGGTGACATTGGGTACGAATCAGATGATGATGATAAAGATGAATAACTCATGGGATAAGGTCGGCTCATTTTCGGCGGTGGTCCATATTTATAAAATGAGTTACCATGAATACTTGGTGAAGATGCACCATAAGAATTACCCACCAGTGGTTGCATATTGAAATTATAACGATTCTGTTTATTATATGAATCTGAATAATTATAAGGAAGATTCATCTCACCACTGGAACCGGAACTTCCCGATGACTCGGCTTCACGAAGTTGACCTCGACGAGGAGGTAGATCATTTTTATCCGTTTCTTGACTATCAACTGTCCGATTGGCTCCACTACCGTTAGAATAACTATCAGGCGATTCTGATTGAATGTCATCCGTTGAAGCTGAAGCTCGAGATTCATATTTATCGGGTGATGTTGGATCTCGAGATAAATAGATGAGCGGTGATACTTGACGATTCGAGGATGAAATTAATGGACTCGATTTGTTGATAACATGTCCAGAGTTCAACAGTGGAATACCTTGATTAGTAGATGATAAATTGTCTGAATTACTTGTTGGTAGAAGACCTTTTTTATGGGTCAAAGGTGAAGGTGTTGTTAAGATGGCCGGTGATAAGGTTGGAGTAGATGAAGATGAAGAGGTTATCGTGGTAACGGTAATTGTGTCCTTATCGTTAATTGGTGAAACTGTTGTCTTATTAATTATTGTCTCTGCGAATCGTTTATCAACTAGTAATGGTTTGGAAATGTGATGAGTTAAATTAACCAATAATCTATTGACATCATTTTGATTTATGGTTACATGTTGATGAGAAGATGATGATCATCTGATTGTGAGGATTTGGTGACAGTTAAAGGTTTGATTAAGGATGAACTTGTTGACCGGTGGGGGAAATGATTTAAATAAAGTTCACTTGAATGTGGACCACGATTAATACGATTTGCCAATGCACCAGAATTCAATGTAATTTCTGTATGAAGAGCAGTAGATGAGAGGAAAACATTTCCAGAAGTTGATTCTTTTAATGATTTAGGTTGATTTCCATTGATAATCAGTGAACTGGTCAGCACATCAGTGACAATTAACAGAATAATAATAATTGCAGACAGGTAACATTGAGATTTCTATGATTACAATTGAGAAACAATTAGTTAAAAGATGATAATAATACGTACGATCAGTTATCCAACAAGGGGAAATTAGATCAACAATTTAACGGTAATTAGAATGAAAAGAAATTTAATTTGATTGGTAACTAATTTTAAAGAGATTAGACAATTAACTTTAATCATTTACCATTGTTGTTGATTGTTGATTCTTCTTTCTTTCCATAACAATTAAATTATTGTTCTGGTTGATTAGGTTAATCATTTAAACAATTTGAAAAGCCTTACAAATTGTATATTCAAAGAAATGATCATCAATTAATCATTAATCAGTTTTCACTTGTATCCATATTAATTGACAAACTAATTTGATTTATTGATTGTTATTATTAGTTAATTGTGTGAGTGCTCAAAATTTGTCCACTTGATTGAGAAACAAATAATCAAAACTGATTACTAATTGTTGTTGATATAATAATTAGATTGTTACACAATATATACAAAGTTAATCATCAATTAATTGTTATCATCTTAATAAAATGATAATTATCATGATTATCATGATAGTAATTTAAAGTTATAATAATCAAACAAAGTGATTAACTTTGATTAAAGTTATGAAAATGGGAGGATTATCATTGGTTAGGCCTTTTAATTTGATTGATGATTAACTAATCACAATAAAAGAGTGAGAGTTTAATGTTGACTGATTACAATTAAAACACAGTAGTTACAATTATAATCAGTGAATCGTTGAAAGTAAATAATGAAAAGTTAAATTGGTTATCATTTTTATTAATAATAATAAGAAAATAACAAATATCAGAAAAAACTCGAGGCCAATTAAGATTCATCTTAATTCCTACTGTTGATTTGATCCTGTTCCGTAAATGAATCAAGATATTACCTGTCGATTGTTACTCCACCCTTAATATTTAGGTTGATTTAAAAATAATTTAACAACAATTTACCCTTTTTCTTAATCATTATGATGTAATAATAATAATAATCAATTACTTGGTGAAAGCATTAACAATGAAAATAAGAGCAGACAAGAAAATCAAATCACCTTTTTTTCAATGTTAATGTTTTTGTGGTTGGAAAAGTGATGAAAATGATTACAAAATTTTCACTACAATTTACTAACTACTAACATATCGTGATGATGACAATCATTATCATCTTGCTTTCTTTATGGATAAGGATTAACGGTAATACACTTCGTCAACTTAACCGTTAATCATTATTGGCCTGGTTTACCTTTCACGGACGAAATGTTACCTTGGATGTTATTTATTATTGAATATCGATGATGAGTAAAGTGATTAGATGAAACTGGTTATGACAATATCACCTTAATCCAATTAAGATTAATTTCTTATGTCTTTATTAGTAAATTAATCTTCTAATTAACCCTTTAAACTGTTAAATCTCTCAACATTGATTAGTTTTATCATCTTAATCCTTTACTATTTTATCACTGATTTTATCATTTGGTGATGTTGGTCACCTTTTCCTTACTAGTGTCCGAAAATATTGACCATCAGTTGTTTTTGAAGGTCAAACAATTAGTTTAATGAGAAAATATTGATTTGAATTGCTATAGTTTTTGATTGTAATAAAGTATTTATGCTTTTTAAACAATTAAGACAAATGGATTATCGAAATTTAAATTGTATTGTTATTGAGGTAATCATGATTTTAATCAGCTTTTGGTGGCGATTTTGTCCAACTTTAATTGTCCAATGTATTTGGTGGACTTGATTTGCTTCAGTTAAATGATTATTTCAGGGCCTAGAAAGTTAATCAGTGCGATTAAAGGCAAAATCAAATATTTTTTTCTAATCTAAATCAATGTATTTGAGTTTCTATACAAATACTATCATGATTTACACCAAAAATCTGATGAAAGGGTTAACAGAACGTGACTGGTCCTGTTGAAATTGGACAAAATCCATCGATGAAAATCAATCAATCGATACAAAATTGATGACACAAATTAACTTGACCATCAGGTTAATCAACAACCAACTGATTATAATGAAAAAAAAAGTCAAACAATCAGTTATAATTCAAATCAATGTTAATCAATTAGTGAACGAGCAAAAAAATTGAAAATATTTTCAATATCTAATCAAGTTAATCAATAGTTATCGGTGAAAACTGATAGACCAATTTAATCCTTATAATCTAATCATTTGGATTTCTAATTGAATTAGAATTAAGTTTTAGATCTAATCACTTGAGATTGAATTACAATTAACAAATTAGCTCAATCAATATCAGTGAATTTAGATACAATTAACAAGTAACAGTTGATTTATTTAATTAGCTGAATTTTTTTAATTGTTTACATTTAGCATCAAACTAATCACATCTGAAACTATTCAACTGTTTTGACATTTCCTTAATCTCAATTGCAATTAAAATACTTTTACACAAACAATTGTTTTGTATAAAAGTCAATTGTCATTGAAACAATTAGTAAATCAACAAATTGAGAAATGCAATTGAATCAAAAGTAATCAGTAAAATTGAACATTCAATTTACCATTGAGTTAATCATGTCCATTTAAAGAGATAAACAATTAACCATAAGAGACAATTAACTTAGAAAATATCAGATCGACATTCACAATATTTTCAATTGTTAATCAACGAAAGATTGTTAAATTGTTGAGTATACAAATCGAAAGTGATTAACTTACCATGATTAATTAGAGAGAAGGTATTTCTTTTCCTTGGTCAATCGTTGGTCCTTAATGGTCACTTTGAAAAAATGGAAAACTCAATATTGTGAGTTCCTGATGAAAGATTAACAATTTAGAAAATCAATTCCTGTATTTTTAAATCACCAAGTAATTGTTTTTCCGAATGGCTTGATTAACATTATTCCCAGATAAATAAGATCATCATAATTGATTAAACAATTAAAAACAAAGTTCAAGATGATTAGTTGACAAGAAAAACTTTCTATGGATCCAAATTGTTCAACAATCACCGAAATTAAAGTAAATTGATGTAGATGATTTAATATTTTCGCTTGATGATGCTCGATGAAATTAATCAACTGATACGGTAGACTGATGAGTTAATGGTGATGGTAACGATAAGTTGACGATATGATGGGCTCGAGAGATGATGATGATAAACGGGAGTCTTTTTGATAAACTTAATGGTTAACTGATTGTTGTATTTAGTAATGTTGTGTAGTTATCGATGAGCACGATGATGATGTTATGCCAGGTATTATTGTCTTAACGATACCTGATTGAGTAAAACATGAAAAGTGGCCCCGAATCTTGTTGAAACGACACCAGAATCAACCAAAAGGAGAGGGATCAAGATGGGAGAGTGTGGGAGTGGGGAGGGTACGAAGGGTAACAAACAAAACGACGACAGAAAGCGAAAGAGCCTCAAAATTTTCGCCATTTTAGCCCCCTTTTTCTCTCTCTTTCAGTTTCGAAAAAAAAATTAAGGTAAAAGAATAAGAAGATGATGAAAAAAGAACAAAAAAATTTAAGAATATCGCTCCGCATGATTCGTGGTATCACTTGAATGGAATCGATTGAAGACGAATTAAAGGAATAAAGAGAATACGAAAGAAAGTTTCATTCTCTTTCTTTTCTCTTCTCTTTTCCTCTTACTTTTTCTTTCTCTGGATAATGGGAACTTTTCAATTGCCCTCGAAACCATTTTACCTGGTTCGCTTAACACTAAAAACAGATTATCCTCACTAAATGATTAATCCTTTTTTTGTTATTCTTTTTCATCATCTTACCTTTTTCAGTGATTTACTCTTCCAGCTTCCTCTCTCTCTCTCTCTCTCACTTGCATATTCATCATTTACCGTTACAACAGATTACACCTTAATCTTATCTCTAATTTTCACTTTATCTCCTTATTCCGGATCCGGTGAAAAAACACTAATCCACCTTAATCCAAGTGAAAAAGAAAATTAAAAACGATAAAAATGATTAATTTCAAGCATCGGATTGAAATTCAAATTGATTCTCAATCCATGATTATCATGATTATAGTTTACCAATCAATTGATCAACTCATAATACTAATCTCAAGGAAAAACAAAACTTTGATTTACTATAATTTCAATTGTCGAATCCTTTTGATTAAATGTCATCATATTAATCCAGTTTAATCAATACAATTAAATAGATTGACTATTTCAAGACCTTTAAGAAGCCATTGTTTCCGGTTAAAAGGTCTTCTCATCCTAGTGACCTGACAATCGACAAGGTCACCAAATAAAACCAGAATATCGATCGATATTAAATCTATGTGAATATTGATCGATAAAAAAATCTTATTCTTGTATAATAATCCCGTAGATGCTTTTGCATCATCATCATCATCATCATCATCATCACTATCGTCATCATCTCCTCCTACTCTCATTTTTTTAACATTTCCTCATGAATATAACCAAAGGTTTCAACCTAATGGCATTTGAATTATCATTTTTTACTCATTTCACTTTCTCCTTATTTTGGCAACAATCATCATGATGATCGTTTTTTTTTGCAAGATGATGTTATATTATCTTCAGGAATCATCATCATCATCATGACAATCAATCAGTATACTTTCAATCAACTGATTTTTGTGTTTTTATAATCAAATTTTCAAATGAGACACTTTTTTGTTAATCTTTTCACCGCAATTCTGGCAAATCTCAATTGTCTTAAATATTTTTCAACCCAATCAACTTAATTGTTGCCATTTACTAATCATTTTTTGCTTTCTATACTTTTCTTAGTTTGAGTATTTTTGCTTTAATTGTTACTGACAATTGATCTTCTATCAACTATTTCAATGATATATTTTAATCATTACTGATGATTATCAATTCAATGATTGATTAATTGATAGAAAAACAAATCAACACTTCCTATTTTAAATCGCCATCTAATTTAGTTGTTTTCAATCAACTTGATTGTTAATTGTTACCTTTTAGCTGATTTGTTTAAATGAGTTTTCATTTTGATGATCATTTACCTATCACAATTAATTAGCTCATTTTAATCATTGTTTTTGTATTGATTTGAACATTGATTTACCTTTTCATTGAATTTTCATCATTAAATTGTAACAATTAAACGATTAATGTCAAAAAGATGATCATGAAAGTGAATGGTAATTGTTACAACTTTAATTACTTTCACATTAATAGTTAGATGATTGTTTTTAAATTGTGATTAACTTTTACTTGTATATTAACACCTTACGGGAACAATTTAACAATCAAAACAATTTGAATACGTGTTAAAGTGTTGACAAAATGATGATGATAATCAGTAAATTGTTAATTGTTAATTTTATATTATTAATATCAATATGCCTTCCAGTTTAATTGATAGACAGGATAATTAACCAGCAATCAAGTTTTTTAAGACATTGAACCAGTTAATTAATGACAATCAATTTGACTAATATAAATGTACTGAAAAAAAAGAGTGAGAGAAAAAAATTAGTTAATCCATTAATTATCTGATTTAATCATAATCTTAATCAACCCAATACCAAACTTGTATATTGGTGATTTAAGACAAAATCTCATCTTATTAGTTAATTATAATGTTAACAGGAATGATTAAGTGTTAATTGTTATTGTTGTTAATGAATAAATTTATATATATACCCTGTTATTAAACAATCAATTTAGTACAATTTAAATTCAACCAACTGATTTATAAGGTTATCGGAGTAATTGAAATGATATCGATGATTATGTTGATGATAATTGTCGTGATATTAATGATTTAGTTTTAATTATAATCGTCGTGGTTACAGTTGATCATCTCCTTTTAATTGTAATTTAATCGCGTAAACCTTAATTCTTGGTTAATTGTTACATTGATTGCGAGAAATTAATTGTTAACCGGCTCGGAGAAAAGCATAAAGCATAATCAGCTGTTCACTTTTCCAATGGAGGGAAACTTTTTTCAACAATTTCCTTTTCGCACTTTCAACTAATTAACTAATTGTTTCTCGTTTTCCATTTTAATTTGATAAATTAACTGAATTTCTAATTATCGTATTTAATATAATCCAAATTTTGATGGAATCTTTTTTTTCATCATAAATGCAATTCTAATGTGTCCCAATCAAATATAATAAATGTGATTTAATTGTTGAACAATTAAGAAAAAAATTAAACAATCATCTCATTGAATTGATTACCAAACCCTTATTGATTATTGTTCTTATTCACTAATCAAGTGAATTTATTTTCTCAGGTGAACTTATTAATTGTTTAAAATTGATTAATCTTGTAAATGGAAACAATAATTTACATTGAATATTGTTAATCAATTGATTAGCAACAATTGAATTAGTTGAGAGAAAAACTGTCAACAGCTAATCAACATCATCATTTTGCTGATCAATTATTGACTTTGATCCGGGTTCCTCAATGATGATCAATTGATTAACCATCCCAATTAAGGGTTGTTAACCAGGAATCTCAAGTTAGAATAATGAAGAAAAAAAATGAGAAAATGAATCAACAACAATTTCCAATGTATCAGTTGATTATCTTGATCAATAATCATCATCAAGGATCATCATCATGATCGTTTTCACTTATTCTTGTCGTTTTTTTTTGCTTCTCTCTATCAAAAGTGTGTATATACCTTGAAATCAATGAATAGATGGAATCACAATCAAAAATGTACAACATTGATGACATTAAGCAGTGCGAACGAAACAAAAAAGCGATCACATCAAAATCGATATTTAATTTTTTTAATCGTTTCTGTGTCAACATTAACTATAATTTTCACTCTTCGAGTAAAAAAAAAGAGGATCAGTTACAATTATAAATATATAGAGAAAAAAAATGATTAACTAAAATAATCCATTTACTGTTTTAACGGTAAAAAATGCCTCAAATTTTTGTGGCCTCACCTCAAACACAATTAAAGATGAATCTCCTTTCTTGACCCATCGATGAACGGGCAAAGTTTATTGTTGAATTAACAGTAACAATCAATTAATCATCAATTGGATTAATGAAAACAAAAAACAGTTGCACGCACTTTGTTGATGTAATTTCATGATGAACAAACCAGATAATCTATACGATTTAAAGTTTTCATCATCATCAATTACTTTGTATTAATTTTAAATTGTTCATTTGTTGTTGATCCGTTGATTAAGTATTAGCTTGATATTGATTGAACTATCGGTTGATAGATATTATTTTTTTTTTCTTAATCCTTCTTTGGATCAGTTTAGTGATCAAGGTAGGATTAGGTTTTTTTTTGGTTTTTTCTCCTCCTTGAGTTTAAGATTAATTATCTACACAATTGATTAACTTTCATTATTAACGATTGATTGGAAAGTCCATTTCCAATTTAACATTGAATTATGTTACAGTTAATTAACCGTTATGAGTTAATCTTAGATTGACTTTGAAACTTTTTCTTTCTGGTTTGTTGGATTTTACTTTTCCACAATTAGAGTTGATGACAATTGATTAAGTTTTTTTTTTGTTCGCCATCAAATATTATTAATACCATTAGGATAATTGGTAGCAAATTGTAGTGTTGAGAAGAGGCTTTTAAGTAGCAATTAGTTAACCATTGGGAATATTCATTGTTCTGATGACCACTTTGATTTGATCCTTATTGATTTGATTAAACGTTGGCCAATTAATTTGTTTGTTTTTTTTCAATCAATTTCCTCAGGGTTGGTGAAAAAGGTGATTGGGATTCAACCAAAGTTCAGACCATTGGAAATGAGACCAGTTATGAATTCACTGGACTTGAACCATTTACTGTTTACGTTTTCAGGGTGATCGCTGTTAACGCTTTGGGTTACAGTAAATCGAGTAAAGATTCATTTCCAATTGTAACTCTTCGTGAAGGTAAGAAATTAATCTAATCATCTGCGAGAATCATGTTCATCATGAAATATTTATCACCTTCCATATTAATCAAAGAATCAAGGTGAAAGAATCACGAACAAGAAATGAGAAATAGTCTCTCCATAGCAAAGGAAAACAATCAATTCTTTCCATCATCACAATCAAATCAATGGAAAATTGTTTCACCAATTTTATCATGTTCGCCATCAATTCGTCTTTCCAAATGTTTCCAACAATCAATGAATATGTTACCATGTCTATTAATCATCTGATTCTCTGGGATTGGTTTCATCTTTGGTACATTATATTGTATTGGTGGTTGGAAAACTAATCATCAAAAAAAACAGGAACAAACAAAATTAACGTAACCATGATAATAGTAGATAATTAATCATTGACATCTCTCCTCAATATGATTTAGATTAATTATAATTTATTCTGGCTCCTCCTGAAGGTTCAGATATTAACTTTACTCTGTTTTTAAATTGTTATTGCCAATCAAGACACTAAATTTGCGCCATTCAACTGAGTTAATTTTTCTTGTTAATTGTAATTATGGGCTTAACCTAAATAGGAATAAATAAAATTGAAAATTAGATTAAATTGTTTAGCTCAGAGGATAATAAACAATTAATTGTTTAGGTAATAAACAATTAGGTTAAACATGTTGTTGTTTGCTCCTCATTAATTGTTGTTTTTATCAATCAAAGTGTAAGTACTTAATTAAATGGTAATAGTTTAGTTGAAGTAGTTGAAAAATTTTAAATTTATCCAAATATTGTCATGGTAAACCAATAACGATTAATTTGATTTAATCCAGTTCCAAGATAAACCAATCATCAATACGAGATAACCTGAAATTGATTAGTAAATAAAGAGAAATGTTAATCATGGTCAATTATTGAAACTGTTGTTAATTGTTATCGTTTAATCAATTGGTTTAACTGGCAATTAATTTAAGGTGTAACATGTTAACATTTTTCGTATGTGAACCTCTTAAATTGATGCGCTTTTAATCACAATCATCATAATTAACTTTTCTGAAAGCCCATAATCAGTTAGCAATCAATTTTCTCTCTCTCTCTCTCTCTCTTTGTTATCATAATTATTGTTTCTTCACCTTCTTTCCTACCTGAACGTATTAATATCATACATATAAACATCTAATGATATGTATACATATATATCTACACTTGTAACGGTGTTGACCCATCAATTTGATCATAAAAACGGGTATTTCTGGTTGACCAGATCAAATTCTCATGTTAATCAGTATCAGTAGTAATCTTGAAGAAAAAAAAAATCAGGCTTAACATCAAGTATCATCATCCATCCTCAGGTTAACCAGTTAAACAGCCTCAGGTCAAACTAACCAGGACAACTTGGTCTGTTTGTTGTTAGTGGTCACTTTTTCATTCATTCATTCAGTTACTGGTCACCAGAAAGGTTGGCTTATAATTATATTCAGTGTTGACCATCAGACAATGAGATTTAATTTTGATTATCCTCCATCAGTGTATGTGTATGTGAGAGAGTAAGTGAGTGTGTTGATAATATGTTTTGAATATTAACTTAGGCCTAAGAGAAAAAGAGAAAAAGATGAAAATTTTGTCAAATAGAATCACAATTAACTTTGTTCACAATGGAATCATTTTCTTGTTCTTTTCTTCATCGCCATTTTCTTGATTATTTCTTTCTAATTAAGTGTCTTCAATGTTGAACTTTTTTTCTCTTCATTTTCTTTTCTATTCTCACATGAAAACAAAAACTCACCTTTATTTTTTTCTTCTTCTTCTTTGTGTTTATCTTTTCCTTTCTCCTGTTAATTAATCACCACCACCATCATTATCCTCATCTATTTGTATAACCAACGAATTCATCAAATTAATCTCATCCAATTGTTTTGTATATGTGTATTGGTATTTGAATATCTACTTGTGTGTTGACCCTGATGGTTAACCTTTTACACTTGGTGACGACCATTGTTTTTGGGTCAACCATTATTGTTGGAATATTTTCTCTGTCATCCTCATCAACACAATCATCACAATCACTGTTAACAACACTTGGACCATCAATAATCGATTCAGTACCAAATGGAGCACCAACTATCCTCGGCTATGGAAACGCAACCAGCACATCAGTCAGCCTACAATTTGCACCACCGCCAAGTGACACAGTTCATGGAGAGCTACTTGGTTATAAAATTATTCTCCACCCAAAGGATAAACCATCTCTAGATAGAACAATAATACTGCCAGATCCAAGTTTACGAGTGAGTTTTCAAAGAACACCAATAAAACAAAAAGAGAAAAAAAAATGGAGAGAAAAGAGAATAAAAAAAAGAAAAGAAAATTTTCTCTTGTAACTGACCAGACGCCCCCTCGCTCGATCATATGGATTCTCATCTTCACTTTGGTTTCTCTTTGAGTTTTGTTTTTTCTTGTTTCTTTTTTCTCTTCAATAGTTTTTCTCCTAATTAATTGATTAACTAATTGTTTTAACTTTTTTCTCTAATCAATTAGCAACATACCATCCGTAATTTGGAAACATATATTCAATACAAAATATCTCTATTGGTGTTCAACATTGAAGGTGACGGACCGGCTGCTAATATAACCGTTAAAACTGAGGAAGGAAGTAAGTTAATTGTTATTAATTGATTATCTCAATTAAATTAGTGTCATCATATTTTCCTCTGTGGAAATTACATAATAATTTAATCCTGTTTCTACTATTGATTGTGGTGTAAAATTTCACTTTTTATTTCAATGTTTTCACTTTAAATTCTGTTCTATTCTATACTAATCTTTTTTATTCTATTCTTTTTCTTTTCTTTGTTCATCTTTCTTCTTCTTTCTTCCTTTCTTTTTCTCTCCCTTTGCTCTTGTTCCTTGACAACTATAATCTCTATCACCACCGAATTTATCTAACACTGATTATCATCATTGTAGTGCCCTCACCTCCAACTGAATTTGATGTTGTTAACATTGGTGATACTTGGATTAGATTAAAATGGAAAGAACCAAAATTTCCTCGTGGCGAGATAATTGGTTATAATCTTTACATTCGTGATTTAAAGTTCAATAAAACTGACATTCGAACTGGTATACCAAAGAACCTTAGAGAATATGCCATTGAGAATTTAAGTGAGTTACATTTAAATTGTTCTAAATTCCCTATAAAATCTCTTGGCCATCATCACCGTAACATAAACAATAACGCCTATGAGTAAATAGAAAATTTATCTTCTGGTTTTAAATTCTATTCTCTTCCAAAACTACAACTAATTGTAAATTAGTTTAAACTATCATTTGAACCGAAAATCTCTATATACTTTATGTATACAGTAAGGAAAGAAAAAAACAAAAGTTCAACAGCACCCGAATTGAGTTTTAACGATTATCCATCTAATAGCTTTTAATCTGTTTGTTTAACTTATTTTTATTCTTTTCTTTTTAATGTTTTCTTTTTTATGTAACAATTAGTATTTTCTCCCTTTCTCTCTTTTACCCTCTCTTTTCAATATCTAAATTACTATTAATGTGTTGATTTCCAAGGCTTTAACCTTGATTGAGATTCCAATTGATTTACAAATTGTCCTTCTTAATATTCAATACTTATCTTTTAATACATTTTCCAAACCTCCATCATAATAGTAATAATAATGATGATAATCATCATCAATCTACCGATCAACTTGAAAATGATGATTTAATTCATTTCCAAGCTGATTAACTACCGTATATTTATATTAACTTTTACCAGACAACTAATTGTAAAGATAAATATAAAACTTAAGTTCTTGATTAGTAATCGTATATAATATGATGATGATTATATCACATTTATATATGTATTAGTTAATCTCTTATAGATATTTATATATTATTTTTACTTTCTTCATCTATGTTACATGTTATCTAATAGATTATTCAGATTTATAAATGTGTATAATTCTGGTGGACATCATGTAATATGTTTACTTGTTTTCAAGTAACTTGACCCGATTATCAAAGTGATTAGGTTGAGTTTTGTTTTCTGGTTAATTATTCATTTGTTGGTTCCTCTTTTTGCCTTATAACTTAAAGGTAAATTGCGAGAAAGATGATAATCTAGGTATATGTATATTCATTGGAAACTTGTTTGCTATTCTTACCTGTCCAAAGTCAGATGAGATCAGAAATTTGCTTTTATTGTGTTGAATGTGCACTTTTATGATGATAAGGTCTCTCTTCATTTATTTTGCTTTCTTCTCATCTTCTTTATGTGATTGTCTTCTCTCTCTCTCTCTCTCTCTCTCTCTCTCTCTCTCTCTCTCTCTCACTCACTCACTCACTTATTGCAGAACCTTTCACCAAATACAAGATATGGATGGATGCTCGTACCGCCGCAGGCCCAGGAAATGAGACTCAGCCATTAGATGTACAAACCGAAGTGAGAGGACCAAGTGCACCAATCATAGTAAATTTAACTTGTTCAGTTGATAGTCTTTTCCTTGCCTGGGAGAGACCATTTAACTATTACAAAAGTGTCGATCATTATAACGTCTATTTTCGGCCTGAAAATTCCCGTGACTTTACTCATATTCCATTGCCAAATCAATTTCAAGTGAGTAATTAAAAAAAAATTTCTCAACATAATCCAACATAATTATTCACTTGAATTATTGTATAATATTTCTAATTAACTTTTTCTTTCTTGTATCTTTTATTTTTAGTATCAAATAAGAAACCTCACTGCTGATATGTTATACGAAGTAAAAGTTCAAGGAGCAACCGAAAGTGTCCACAATAAAAGTCGTCTTATTCCTGGGGAGTTCAGTGAATCTCGAAAAGTCGTTCTCCAGAGTAAGTGTGAGAGTAAGTGTACTAACCCATATAACTTGTTAACTTTTCCTTCCTTTTCTAAGCCCAAATTTTTACGGTGATGGTGATTTTCTGGTATAATCCAACTTAGAAACAATTCTTATACTAACTATCTACTTTTAACACTCTTCATCAAACTCGTAAGAGTAATAATCATCTCTCTCTCACTATCTTCTTTGTATCATATTTACTATAACTAAGATTATTCATCTCTCTTCCTCCTTTCCTCTCATAATCATCTGATTATCTCTTTGTTTGTGATTGAATGAATTGATGATGAAACTGAGTTTTTACACATTGATTAAATGTAACTCATTTCTCATTACAACTAACCAAAGGTCAATCAAATTGAGTTACTTTTTCATTCATCATATCTAATTTATTTCTTTTTTTACTTATATCCGCTATTTTTTCCCTCCCTTTTTCCTGTCGCATCCTTGCTCCTTCTACTTTTTTTCTGTCTCAATCAAGGTTACATATCCTCATCACAAATCGATGTTACTCTAAGCGCTGGTGTAATTGCTGCTGTAATCTGTGTCTCCTTTGCACTTCTTCTTGCCATATTTTCATTCATCTTATGGCGAAAATATTTCCAAGCAGCATATTATTACCTTGATGATCCTCCCTCTCAAACTCGTGGTGGATCACCTCAACTCTCAGAGACATATGATGAATCTGATTATGCTTCAGTTCCAGTTACACTTTGGCCTAAACATGTTCAAGATCTTCATGCTGATGGTGATATTGGCTTCTCTCGGGAATATGAATCAATTCAAACTGGAACCGATGCTGAACTTTCCTGTGATTATTCACAAATGTCAGAAAACAAAAATAAAAATCGATATGTAAACATTGTCGCCTATGATCATACTCGAGTTGTTTTGAAATCCCTATCAGGACAAAAGAAAGCCGCTGGTGTTGATTATATTAATGCAAATTACATTGATGTAAGTGTTAATTGTAATAATTAACCAACAAGTTAAGACCAATATTCAATCTAATTTAATAACTTTTTTATCTTCATTTAGGGATATTGTAAACCCGCTGCCTACATAGGAACCCAAGGTCCACTTCCATCAACATTTGATGATTATTGGCGTATGATTTGGGAACAACGAGTTTGCATAATTGTGATGATTACCAATTTAATTGAAAGAGGACGTGTAAGTATCCACTGATTACATTATTAATTGGAGTGCATGATGAGATGAAAACAGTTGAAAAACCTTTTTCCCTCTCTCATCTCCTCCATGTTGTTTATTAATTTGTTTAGTTGATCATCAAAATCATTTTTTTTAATCATGATGAATTAAGAATGCCAAAAGAAGCCCCAATTATCCGATGTTGATTTCTTAAGTCCCAGTTTTAGTGGTTTTTTTTTATTTCCGTCGGCAATTAGTTAGCACCGTGCACTTTTTAATCGCTGAAAAAACTTAGAATACCTAAGTAGTTTTATCAATAACGCTTTTTACCGCTTATTTTTGCTGAAATCGCTTCATAATTTAAACGCTGATTAATTTTGATTACTTTCCAATTGGATTTTTATTTATTTCTGTAGTAGCTTACAAATCAAAACATTTGTTTATTTGTTGTTACTCACGGAATGATATTTACCTGACATCCAACCTCTGAACCTCCTTGATTATTCATCATCTCTAATTGTGATCATAAAATTTGATCAAAATTTAATTACATGGTGTCTCTCATGATAGATTCATGATAAATATCCTCTTTCTCTCTTTCTCTTTCCCGATATTTCCTCTCTCTCTCTCTGTCTTTGCATGACTATCTATCTCAGCACCAGTTTAGTTGCTCTTCAGAGTTGGATGACAGCGTAAGTAATATGAAAAAAATACTCTTAATCAACTAATCATAATCGCTAATCAACTAACACTTCACGCAATAAGCATTAAATAGCAACTGTCACACTTATCACTTTTACTAACTTCAAAATTTCATTCACCTTTTCAAAAAACTCTCACTTACCAAAATGTAACAGAAGCAAAGAAAAAAAAATTATCAAATTGTTAACTCTCGACTTGCATATATATGATATATATTAACTCGATCAATACGATTGACGTTTGGGACTTTGAAAAAAAGTTGACGATAAAAATGGCTTCGATTCCGATTTATTATGATGTCAAAAATTTTTCTTCTTCATCATCATTATCTCCAAAAAGTTTGACAACTTTCTCTTTTCTCTAACTCATTCTTCTTCAATCAGCTGATGATGAAATAGTTACACACCATGAATGCTGATATCTGATCTCACTCTGGTTGTAGATTAGAATCAAATCGATATATTTTCATTGATTAAATATTCGCAAATCAATTTTTCAACCATCAATTTCATTCATCCCATGAATCTAATCAATTAAATATTTTCTTTCTTCTTAACTCCTATTATAGAGGAAATGTGATCTTTACTGGCCGAAAGAGGGAATTGAAACTCACGGAATAATTCAGGTTAAAATTTTACAAGAAGTTGTCATGGCCACTTATACATTAAGAACTTTCTCAATTCGTAATCTTAAAATGAAAAAGGTAAATTTTATTCTTAATATTGGATACATGATTACATCAATTAATTATTAATATTTTATTCTGTTTACCTTTTTTATTTCATTAGAAACATGGAGCTGAACGAACTGTGTATCAATATCATTATACTAATTGGCCTGATCACGGAGTACCTGATCATCCTCTTCCTGTTCTGTCATTTGTACGAAAATCATCAGCCGCTAATCCACCAAATGGAGGTCCAATTATAGTTCATTGCAGGTGAATATCTTTCTCGATCTCTCATTCAGTTAATCCATTGTTTTGATTGATGATTATGATAGTTTGTTGGACTTTTTTTTTCATCAATTATGTTTTCACTTTATATAAGACACTTCAATTGTTATTCTATCATCTTCCTCCATTTTGAGTCACTTTCATCTCATTTTTTTTCATCCATTCTCATCTTCCATTCCTTTAAATCTCTTGGTACATTTTATGGTCTTTTTTTTTAACTTTAATTATCATTCATAATTATATTTACTCCCAACATCATCATTTACATCATCATAGTTTTTTTTCTGCTATTCAAGGTTTTAAATCTTACATTAACTTTTCACACCCTACAACATACTAACAGTGTTATCATCTACATCATAAATATTGATTGAGATGTTAATGATTCAGATTTGACTTCATTTTTCTCAATGTTTTTGATTAAATCATCATATAAATTTCTCTTTTTACGAATATGTTTTTTTCCTTCTCTTTTATGTTTACAGTGCGGGTGTTGGTCGAACTGGTACTTACATCGTAATTGACGCTATGATGAAGCAAATTAAACACCGACAGAGTATCAATGTTTATGGTTTCTTGAAGCATATTCGTCAACAACGTAATTATCTTGTCCAAACGGAGGAACAGTATATTTTCATTCATGATGCACTTTTAGAAGCTATTGAAAGTGGTGACACTGAGGTTCCAAGTAGCCATTTGTCTCGTTATATACAAACTTTACAAACAGGCGGTGATGCCATTTCCAATGCAAGCAGTGACATTAAAGAAAGACCCTTCCACTGGCCTCTATTAGAGCGACAGTATAAACTGGTCACTTCTTTCCGAGCAAAAGATTTCAATGTTGTCTCAGCTCTAAAACCTTGTAACAAGGCCAAAAATAGATCACTTAACCTTATACCATTGGAGGCGCATCGAGTTCACATTACCCCAAGATCTCCTGGAACTGATGGTTCTGATTATGTCAATGCCACTTTCCTTTTAGGTTTCAATATGTTGAAAGAGTTTATAATTACTCAGCATCCACTTTATGATACAGTTTCCGATTTTTGGCAAATGATTTGGGATCATAATGTACAAACAATTGTTGTACTCACTCCAATCATTGATGAGAAAGAGTTTCCTCAATTTTGGCCTGAAAAAGATGATGAATGTGACTATGGTAGTTTTAAAGTAAAATTAACTGAGGAAGTGACCACATCAAGGGAAACTGGAGGTTTTGTAACCACTAGAGATTTTATAATGCAATCAACTCAAGATGATTACGAGTTAATTTGTCGTATTGTACACTGTCCAGGATGGCCTGAGACTTGCGGGCCACTTAGTAGTGTTTTTGATCTCATCAAAATGGTCCAACAATGGCACCTAGAATACCAAAATGGTCCAATTGTAGTCATGGATCGGTAAGAATATTTGACTCACAGATATTTGGTGAACAATCAACTAATCATATCTTTTTTTCAATCCTTAGCTATGGTGGAACTGAAGCTGCAACATTCAGTTGTCTGACAACTTTGTATAAACAATTAAATTTCGAGGATTGTGTCGATGTTTACATGTACGCTAAACTTTACCATTTAAGAAGACCTGGAATATGGCGCTGCCAGGTAAGAGAATCGATTCTGATAGATTATAAGATGAATTTTTATTGATATTTTGTTTTGTTGGAATTGATTTTTAATGTTTATCTTTTTCTTTTAGGACGATTATTTATTCCTTTACCGCGCAATAGAAAGTCTAGTTTCCACAATGAATCTCGCTGAAAGTATGGACACATCACCTTACGGGAGTCAATTAAACATGACCAATGGTCATATTAACTCTAATGGTCATGTAATTAAGATAAATTTAAGCTCTGAGCATAGTCTTAAAAGTGAATCAATGGCTTGATTTGTGGTAAAAAGAGTGAAACGAAACAAATTAGAGCGAAAACATTCAAGCAATTAACTGTATTTAATTCAAAGAAAACACAAAAACTGCTTATATCTATTCATCGCATCATCTTCATCATGACTTTTGCTCATCATCTACATAAAATCATCGCCTCAGGAAAAAGCTTTGAACACGGAAAAACTTATACAACTCACTCTTTGATTCCCAACTCTGAAACACTCACCTCACTATCGACACATCATTTATAAATTTCATCTAATTTTGTTCTTTCATCATCTTAAAGCACAAAAATACATTTACAAAGATGAAAAAGGGAGAAAATAAGAGAAGATGAAGATATAAAAACTAATCAGTACTTCCAATATCTAAATTTTCATTCAAATCAAATGTTGATGAAAACGCAATTGTCTAAATCTTTCATCTTCCTAGAAAAAAAAATCCATTTTCTCTTTAATCAACTAATTACAATCGATAATATTTGTAAAAGTCGATAGACATTCAAGTGAAAATTGAACTCACAACAAATTAATTAACTTCGACGATCTCATCTCACTGCCATTGACTTTGAGAAAATTATCTTCATCTTTCTTGTTTCTCACTTTCTTTTCATCCCTCATCTCTTTTAATATTATTTTCATCTCCCTGACTATTTGTTAATCATTTTTTTTTAAATCATCATCAATAGTCTGCCATTAATTGATTGTTTTCTCTTCATCTTTTCTTAATTCTTCCACCGGTTTTCATCTTCTCTCTTTTTTTCATTCCTCTTTCAATTCTAACTTTGTTTTTGTTTTTTTTTTCTTCTTTTCATTGAAAATTTTCTCTCTTCCCTCTTTAATTGTAATCACAATTAACTCCAAAATTTAATACAATTCATGTATATACAATAAGCAACAACAAAAGTTACAAAATCAAATTGAATATGTGTAAGCATATATTATGTAATAGAGGGCAAATTAATTAATTGCAAGCAAATAAGGATTGCCTATCAGAACGAAACACTCACAAATTGATAGACATGATAATTAATGATAATAATTAAATTGTATTATTGCTCAACCAAAAGTAGAGATTATTAAATAAAAGATTTTATTTCTTAAAACTTTTGAGTGTCAATTGATTTTCTAAGACAATAACTTGATGGTAATTAAGGTTAACCTTTGTTTTCATGTTCCCTCGTTAATTAGAGTGATCACCAAATTGTGATGGTTCTTTACAACAATTAAGAGGAAATAATTTGCAACCATAATTAACAATTTGCTAAAGAAATAATAGTTGATCAACTTTTTAATTATCGGAAAAGTTTCGAGCAAATTGAAATAATATTATTTTCGAAGCATTTTCGTTAACCTTTGCTCACTTTGTTCTGTACGTGTATCAATGTTTTCGTAGAGATAAGAACACGTGCCAATAGCATTTGCTAATTAACTTGGGAACAATCAACAGTAATTAACTTGCGGCAATGAGAAGTTTAAATTTGGAATAATTTTGTGAAAATTGTCAATCGATTATTAATAAGATTGAATTGATTTGAATGCTCTTCAATTCAAAAGGATATTAAATATTCACTCTAAATTGTTAACGATTTAATTGTTTTGGTGTTACCATGACAATTAACCAGAGAAACAACAATCTCTGTTAAGAAATTAGATTAACCTTGAACACTAATCGATATTGTCTTTAAATTGTCCTTAACTGTTCAGTTATGATCTTAAGAATTTGATAGAAAATTAAAAAGTTTCAGTCATTCAAATAATAGTTTCTCGATCTTGTATTAGTTGAAGTTGTTCAATTAAACTAATTGCTAATTGTTATGGATCCAATGACGATAAATGTCGGTACGGCTTCTCATTTACTCTCTCTGATTAATAATCCAAAGTTTAGTAAATCGGCTTCATGTTTAGCCCGAATATTTGACCTTCTCTTCAATTATCGATCTTATCATAAGACCAACTTTACGAAAGATATCAAAATGGATGGTTCGATTGATATAATCTTCGAACCCGTCGCTCGAAATATCAACTTCACCTTTCCAAATGTGTCCATCTCTTTGCCCTTCGGCTCAACGTCTTGTGTAATAGCTCACACGATTCCAGATCATTTCCAGTTCCTCGATGCTTTCGATGCGATTTCATTCATCTCATGGGAAGTTTACTTCATCATCTTAATCATGACACTGAGTAGCTGTTGGATCTTATTATCTAGTAGATTAAATAAATTACTAGATTATGGTAAAACTATTTGGTTTGTCGTTCAATTGTTGTTCAATCAAAACGACGATTCTCAAGCAAAGATGAAAAAATATGGGTCAACCATATTGTTTGTGTTAATTGTTACAATTGGTTCGATTAAAATTTTCTTCGGTGTTCACTTTTCGGCGCAATTAACAGTGGCCAAAACTTATCCTACAATCGATTCGCTTGACCAAATAATCAATTGGAATATAACAAAATGGCCTCAGGTTTACACTATTTGTCCGTCACTTTTAGCTGGTTCATCGGCTTTTTATGTTTACGGTTCTAAGAAAGTTTGGAGTGGAACAACTTATAACCATATGGGACAATCGGAGGCCGGAAAAGTGGTCTCACTTTTATCGACGGAAGAAGTTTCAACATTGAGAAATAAACTGTGTGCCTATTATCCTGATAAACGATTACATGTTAGTCCAGCGTTTGGTCATACGACTGTTGCTTTTCCGCTTTACTCTTACCTGGAACCAAGGAAAAGAAAATTTCTCAACAATTATCTACGAACCATCATGGAAATGGGTTTGGATAAAGTAATGTTCGCATGTGACACTCAACGGCGACCCAACGCAGCTTTGATCGGCGACTGGAATTGCGCTAATCAAAAGGAAAACATCGTACAAGAGGCTCAATCAATTCCCTTGGAATTTTATAAAAGACATTTCGCTCTGACGATCATATGTTATTTTGTAATTTCTTTCTATTCTTTATTCGAGGTCATTTTGTTTCGTATCACCCGAAAACCTAAAAGTACAAATGCTGTCGAAATGTACAATTTATGACCTTTGTTGAATTTCTTAACCATGTGAACTTTTTTTATTTAGAATTGGAAAAAATTTACTCAGGATTTATTATCTTTTTTCTTTATGTTTATAAACAGAAAATACAATGGAAATGAAGAAGAGAAAAAAAGTTTCATTCGGAAAAAGTAAAAAAGGTTCAGAAAACACAATCGATACGGTGGGTTCGTTTTCTGATTCCATCACCGGCACCATGAGCATTATATCATTTCTTTGTTTCATCAGACAATTATCTCTTTGTCGTGGTGATTGTGGCCGTGGTATGGATTCGGTGTGTTGATCGGTGAACGACGAAAAAAAGTAGATCAATGAAGTTAATGATAACAGGAAATTCATGGGGAAAGGATTAAGGGTTAAAGCGAAAGGTGAATGATGATTGTTTCGGACAATCGGCTAAGAAAAAGTTGATTAACTAGATTTGGAGTTTGATTGTGTTGATGGTGGAGCGGGTGAAGCTTCAGCTTTCTCGTATTTCTCGATGGCATTTGAAACAGTTGAAATTAGATCCATAACATATTGTTGGAATTTGGATCCATCGATTGACCGTTTTCGTCCGTAGGCTGGAGCAGCGGTCAAACCAGGTCCAAGAAGGGAAGTTAATCCAAATGGATTAAAGATAAAGTAAAGGATTGAGATGACAATGACTGCACCGATGCCGAAAAGTACTAACATGGGAAGGAAAGAGACCAAAGGTGAGGCGAGGGCAGTTTGTCGTTGACCCATTGAATAGTCGTGATGTTGTTGAGGCTGTTGACCGTAAGGTGACCCATTGGGTGAAGCTGAATTAGGTTGATATTGCCAGAGTGGGTTCGTTGGTTGGGTCACTTCAGCTGAGGTGGGTAATTGGCACACAACCAGGGAGGAGAAACAAATTATCCAACAGATGAGAGCAGAGCACATGATTGATTTGAAAGATTCCATAGTTAATTAATTAGTTAGAAGATGAAGAAAATTGAACAGAACAGAAAAAGTTGATCTTTAATCAAGATGATTAATTGAAATTGAGCAAAATTAAATAGCTAATTGTTGTTGTTGTTATCCGAACAAGTTGAAGGTGAGAACTGATATTCGTTAGAGATCATCAAGGCCACTTATATATGCGAATCCAATGAAAAAGGTACAACCTCCCGTTCGTCCTCCCTCTTTACCTTTCAAGTCGATAAGAGGATCTTCCTAATGGGGTAACACAATTAGCGACAATGGTTAAATTAAATTGTTACCTTTTCTTTTCATGGTTATTTAATTGTCTTTTCAATTGACTATTTAAAAAGTTGATTTAGTTTATTTTTTTTTCTCTTCTTCCATTTTTCTTGATTCGCTTTCACCACAAACAACATTTGTAAACATTTACTCTTAATTTTTAATCACCGCAAAGTTAATTGTCATTAACATCTCAATCTCTCAGGATTTAATTGTTATTTATTGTTTAATTGTTAAAATAGGATTAAAGGAGGAGAAATATTCAATTTTTAATCAACAATCCATATCGACAATCTTATATTCCTCTTTGATTGTTGATTATGTTTACGAAAAAGACGATTTCTCAATTCGCTCTATTAAATTACTATTATCACTTTTTACTCCTCATCAATTGACTTATTATTGTAATTACATTTTAATTGTTGATGTTATACCATAAATAGTAATCATGTATTATCATTTAATTCAAAGTAAATTCTAATTGTTGTTCATTATGAGAAACCAATTAAGAATTATATTTATATCTTTTAATTGTTATTACTTTTACAATGGAACCTGAAATTGTCTTGAAAATTTTCTCTCTCTCTCTCTGATTGTTGATTTAGATTCTGATTATTTGGACAATCATTTATTTATTTAGTTGGTTAATTAATAATAATTAATGGTTGGTTGGTTTGCTTTTTCTGATTTAGTTGTGCTATTAAGGATCTAATTGTTTATTGGAAAACAATTTAACTATCAAAAACTAATGAAAGTGATTTAACTTTTTTTTTTATATATGTATCATGATCAAAGTTTAATTGTTTAAAGTTAATTGTTTGTTTGGTTATCGGATTAAATTGTTGTCTCTTGATATTATCGTTTAAAATGAAAGTTTTTCAATTTCAAGAGTAAATCTTTTTAACCTTAATCAACAATTAGATTTTCATTGTTAATATTTTACTTATTAACTTTCATTTTTTTGTTCATCATCAACAATCATTACGATTCACGATTTTTGCATGATGATTGAATTAAGATTAGGAAACCTACAGAAACAGAAAAAATATCATACGAATGACCTCAAGATCGATACAAATAGAAGCAAAGTCATAGGTGGTCATCTTGGACATTAGATAATGAGAGTAATCAATTCAATTAGAACGTTTTATTTCCAAAATTTGCTTTTTCTCCGCATTCTACTAATGAAATAGGCTTGTAATATGTGTCAAAATCGTAATTAACTGGATAGTTATGACCACGTGGAAAGCGACAAACGGCAAATATCAAGATAAATATACATTTATTGTATTGAGCGAGAATGGGAATCTCTCAATAGGACTAAGTAAATCAATTTTAGAGCCAACAATTTGGGTTAAACAGGTTCCATGTTATCGGAGATAACTGGTCCCAAAGATCGGGCCAAGTAAATACCACTGGAGAATAGTGACCAACTCTTGACCACTTGCCTAATGAGAGAAAAGTGGAGAACAAAAAATATCGAATTTATAACAATTGAAAAACATTAAAGAAAACAAAACCAATTGTATCAATAGAAATGCAATTGATTGTATAAAAAGCATTGGCGATCAAATTTACTCACCACAGGAATGGATCGGTGTAAACAAGTTTTACCTTATTACACAGTCTAACGATCACGTTAGAATTGGACTTTTTATTCACTTGAGCCATGGTAAAAATCAAAATTAATTACGATTGAACAATCAAAAAGATCCAAATAATAATAATAATAACAGAGACAATTAAAAATAATCACAAAAATATTCAACTTAGAATCACATGTTCTCATTCAGGGAGAATATAATAATTTCGGACAGAAAATTTTTCGAAATTTTTTTTCGTTCAATCAAAAAAAAAGAAATTTTTTTAATTTTTATTAATTTTTTGTTTCTATTAAATTTCGATATGAATTCAATTAAATTTAATGATATAAACTTTCATGTTTTGTTTTGTTTAGTTAATTTAGTTTATGGTTAAGGTTAAAGGATCAATTGTTAGGCGATGAAGTTTTGATTGGTTTTTAATTATTTTTTGCTAACAATTAGAGAAAGATATTATAATTAATTGATTAGATTACAATTTGATTGATGGATTGATTTAATCACAGCTTACAATTTAGGATGGTAACAGTAATCAAAGTGTAGATTTACTGTTAATTGTCGGGATAATTTTTTCATTATGATATTAATATGGTAAAGTTAATTGTTTGGTTTTTTCTTATGGACACTTGATTGCAATTGTGTTAATTATCGTTGAATTTGATTGATGATTCACGTAAACTGTTCATTATGGAAATAACTGTTGGAGAATTGATTTGACTTCGCCGACGGCGTTTACCACCGGCAACAACAGCCCCAGTCCCTAATTGAGCGGGTTGAACCAGACCGGATTGAATTGGGTAAACTTGTTGATTATAAAGCGGTGGGCCAAGTGATTGTTGTTGAGATTGAAGGAGAAGGGTGAATGGCATGAACATTGATATAATTAGCCCAAAGAAACCGGCGATGGTCAAGATGACCAGAAAGAGAGTAAATTCATCTCGTGGTCCAGCACCGGATTCAAAAGGTCGAGGTGGGAACGGACCTTGGCGGGGGAGAACATGGAAAGCGCTGGTCTGAGTCGAGAGCGGGTAACTTGCTGAATGAGGTATTCGCCCAGGAAATGATCCTAATTGTAGTGATGAGGGAGATGATGAGAGTAAAGACAATGATGATAAAGATGAAGGTGATCCTGATGAGGGAGGTGGAGGAAGTGACACCGGCGGTGGTGGAGGTGGAGGTGGCATCCAATCAGGTAAATCATTTGCTCGATAATCATAATCAACTGCAGTTCCACCATCGTTACCGGCACTTCCTCCACCTCCACCTCCTCCTCCTCCTCCGCCATCATCCTCATCACCATCAGCTAACTCACCATGATTAACTGTTGCAGCTACAGATGATTGTTGATTGTTACTATTAGTTAATTTAGTTAACGATGATTGTTGCGATGATACTTTTGAATTTAATGATTTATTATGATAAACATTTACTCGGTTCGGGATATTGATCACATTACGATTAATTGTTTTCTGTTTTGTCCTTTTATTATTAGAATTAACTTGTTGACGATTTAAATTACTTCCATCGCTAATTAAGTAATCACCATCATCTTCACTTCCACTATTATCACCGCCGGTGTGATCACTATTTGATCGGGTAATTAATGGAATTGGTTGATTAGCAATAGCCAATGGTTCAAATTGTTGTTGAGTATAAACAGTTGATAAGAAAACAATTTGTATCCATTTTAATAACAACCAATTTAATGGTAACATTTTAGAAAACAATTTAAAGTGAATTAGTAAATTTAGTTATCATTCCATCAATAAACACTAACACTTATCGACTAATCTTAATTGTCGTTGAATTAAACACAATCATCTCACAATTTGAACGATGTTACTTGATGAGAAACTTAATTTACAATGAACATGATTTAAATTCTGATTTCTTGGTTAATTGTAATTTTTTGACCTTAATTTCTCGTTCTAATTGAAGATTATCAAGTTTATAACAATTAACAAGGCTCAGAGATTATCAACAATAGTTAATCATCATCTTAATCCATTATTAATTATGATCAAGATCATATTTTCCCTCATTCATATATAAAAGTACCGGTGACAATTAAACTCGTTTCCGACTTGTTGATTACAATTAACGGTCCAATGGATTTAAAGTAAAGTTTGATTATAATTCATAATTGACAATCAACGCCCTTTTCCTATTCAATTAACCAGGATCCCAACAATTAAGAAGCTTTTTCTTTTAATTGTGATTAGATATTGGTGTCACTGTCCTAAATTGTTAGTTTGACTCCTTGTTGAGGATTGACATAGATTTTTAATTTCTCCCTCACAATTAAGATCACAATTAAATCTAAATTTCCATTTATATAACCAAGCCCATTGATCCGTTGATTTTAAATACACCAACAATTAGTGAAAAGTTAAATACATTGATGGTTGTTTATTAATTGTATTGATGAAAATTTAATTGCAATTTAACAACACTTTTTATTAATTGTTTGTTAAAGGTAAGAGAAAATTTTTTCTTTGCAAATTAAGTTAATCAAGTTAATCAACTATCTAACAATTAAACAGGTTGAAGGAAAATTTTTTACTCTGATTTAATATTAAAATCAATCAGATTGAAAAGTGATTAATAATAAATACAATCCAGTGATAAATGGTAGTAATTAAAGATGAAGATTAATTAGAGATTGTGATTAGTAAATCAGTTTGCTGTTTCTGTATGTTAATCTATGTCTCCGTTTGGTAATCAATTTCTTGTTTCAACAATTAAAACGAAATTAAAATCCAATTGATTAAGATGAGTTCAATCTGGTCAATTGTTTTCATCATTCAGATTCAGTTTGTATTGAGAATTGGTGGTGATAATTGTTATCCAAATTGTTTAACAATTTAATGAACTCCTTTGATTTTCTCGTAGTTGTTTCAATCACAAACTCTTATTGATTGATTGGTTATCGGATTGGACTTTTGATTGGCGCAATTATTGATCTTATTGTTTATCGAACTGATTCTTGCTCCGCCTTTTGTTATTGATAAATGGAAACGATTGGAAATCGCCGGTCTAACATCGCACTTCTGATTTGAATAAGAAAACGATAACAATTAGAATCAATATTATCGAAAATTAATAATCAATAGTCGATTGTTTCTCTTACCGAATCAACGAGTTCTTTCAGAAATGGAAGTAGATTCAACAATTCTCGATCGTTTTTATCATCGAACCAACTTTTGATTGGAATCCCATTTTCGAGCTGAAATTGGTGAAAAGAGAAGTGATTAAAATGATTAATTGTTATCAATAATTAGAATAAAATAAAGTTAATTCTCACCTGATAACCGAAAGCTTGAAGTGAATTATCAATGATAATTGTCTTTGATAAATCTCTTCGAAGTATATTAAGATCTTTAATGTAATTTCCACTGATACAGATACAATGTTCTCGAAATAATCGATGCCTGTGAATGAATAGATTAATTTGTTAGTTGTAAGAATTAAATTCAATTGGTCAGTTGATTACCTTATATATTTTCTCTCAGGGTCAAGAATGTTGACAAGTTTATCGGCATAAACGCGTTTCGATGCGGTGAAAAGTATCACCTCGAAAAGTTTTGATACTTGGTCAAGGAATTGACGAAAATGTGGCCTGGTTCGTACGAAGACTTTGTACTCATTGTCTTGGAAAACAACAGGAAAGGTGAAACAAGCATCTTCGAGTTCAGTTAAACTACAATGAACCAAAGTTTCGTCCAAATCGAGGACCAAACTAAACTCGGGTGCGCTACGAGTTTTCAATGGTAAAGCGGGATAACGACAGATCATCTCAGGTGTTAACGGAGGTAAACTCTTGATAAACTGATAAGGATCCAAATCGTCATAATCGATAACCAAATTCTCATCAATTATCTCCTCATTTTCATCGGTAACATCGGTTCCCACCTCGTCTTCATCATCTTCCTCTTCATCCTCTTCTAAACTTTCAGTTAAACCATAATATTTACAATTATCTCGATTTACATTAGCAAGTGATGACGATGATGAAGTTGATGAGACACTTGTAATTAAATCAATTCTCTTCATTTTCATTGAATTTTTATAAACAATTTTTGTACATTTATCGACGTCAGGATTGTCCACTTCCTCTTCGTCCACCAATTCACCCTCTTCCCGTTCACCATCAGTCCCATTGTCCATCCAATTAGACGAGTAAAATTTTCTTCTTCCATCAAAATTAACCGTTGAGCTTACATGGCTCTCCGATGAATCCTTAATTGTACATGGAGAGGATTCTGTCAATAAATCAAAAGCCCAAAACACAGTAAAAAAAGTTAATTGTTTCTCATTTGATAGAATCAACAAATCATCAAGATCTTCATTAATGAAAATTAAAAGAAAAACAACAAATTCGTGTATAAACATTGAATTATCACCTTAAAGAACGAAGTAATCAGTAAATAAACAATTTTCGAGTCAACAATTAAGACTAAACATAAGACTATTTATAAATTGTAATCGTTTCAATTTTTTTTGGAAAAATTTCCAATAACAAAATAAGAATCATAATCATAATATCAACATAGAATCAAATAGATTACGAAAATAGAAAACCAGCTAAATCAATGTAAGCAATTAAATCATCAATTAGAATAATTTTTCATTCTTAAATTACTGATCACGATTACAATCAACCATTCTAAAGTAACAAAGGTTAACAATTAATCTAAATTAGTCTTACCCTCGTTTCCATAGGAAATGTTATTATTGCTTTCGCCGTTGGTTAAGCTTTCATTGAGATCTTTGTTGGTATTGTCCAGGTATCGACGTCGTTTAACTGACCCCTTGGAAGGTGAACTAACACTATTTGGCATATAAATATTATTAACTGGTCGCTGGTCAGTCCAATCATTGACAATGTCCAGCATGACTGAAGGTAATTGAAAAAATTGCGACAAATAATCAATCAAAACAACTGACTAATTACATGAGCAATTACAAATTGATTGGCAGTTTTTGGCTTGAATTTTTTAGGAAAATGATGATCAATTGATAATAATGAAACAAAAAGTCAACAACAATTAACACTAATCAAGAAAATGTTGATTAGTGATTAGAGTTTTTCATTTGAGCAAAAAATTTTTAGCTCAACACAGAAATGGATAAGCAAATTGTGATGAAAAAGAGATGATGATTATCGTGATTTATTAAAATGGATCAACACAAATTGTAATTAACTTACATTGTTTAACTAAATCGATAAAAAATTAACTAATTATTGCAACTACAATGATAACAATTAGAAGGTAAAATTAGATGATTGGTGATGAGAAATGGAGATGAAGATGAGAGGGAAAATTGTAGATAAACAATCAGTGAACTAATATGTTTATCTACCGAAGAGAATGTTGAACAAGAAGACAGAGAAGAAAGAAAGAGAAGATGAAACTCGTTCGTGAACAGAAAAGAAAGAGAAAAATTCGAAAAGAAAGACTTCCGCGGAGCTCTTTCTCTTTTTCTCTCTCTCTCATCTTCTTTCAAATGTGAGAGACAAAACGTAAACATTAAAGATGAAAAATCGATAAAATATTCGAGTTCTATTTCCATAGATGGCACGTATTCATTTTCCACGTGTTTCACTTGATTAATTTTCTTTAGAACTTTTTTTTTCATCCAAATTGTATCTTCGACATTTCGACAATTAAAGCCAAACAAAGATTCAATTGAGAGCAATTTAAACATTGGATACTAATAATTGTATTCGTAACAATTAGTTAACAATTGATCCAAATAAAAGACATTAAGTTATAAACTTTCATCTTTTTACTTAAATTCAAGTTGATTGTTGTTATCATGATGATCCGAGATGCTTATTGTTAATTAGTTGATTAGTTAATCTGATGGATTTTTTTGTTCTTTCATTAATTATATTGGAAATTGGAATTAGCCGAAAGATGATATTGGAAACACGTGGGAAATTTAGGCCATCTATCGAAGGAGAGATTGAACATTTTATCGATTATTTATCTTCTTCATCTTCCTTTTAAACTCCATCCTCATCTTTTGCATCCCATGGAAGAGTAAATTCATTCAGTCGATGATAGTTATTGATTCACTGAGTTTCTGGTTCGAACTCCTTGAAAGAAAGAAAGAGAGAGAGAGAGAGAGAGAATCGATGTAAAAAGAGTGAGAGTTATCAGTTTTCTTCATCTTCTCATCACCACCGTTGTCCTTTCATCATCTTTTTCATTCATTTTCTCATCTTCTTCTGTTGTTACTCCTCCACATTCACTCATCCTCATCCTCATCCTCTTCTCACCAACACAACATCAATGAGATAAAAGTGATCACAGAAAAATTATCTCCAATTGATGAGTGAAAATTTTACCAATTTTCGTTTGAAAAAAAAACAACCACAATATTCATCATCTATTTCTCCATCCTCATCCTTTTTTGTTTCCCTGGTTCCAAAACTTGATTCTAATTGTTGATGATATTTTTATATAACTACTTTCACCTTTCATTATTGTTATTTGTTGACTCTTGGTGAGTAGCATCATCTCATCTGAGTGTTCAATTGAAACAGTCCCTGTGGAGGAAAATCAACAATTCATAATATATCTGGTATACAGTTTTCCATGATCACAATTAACTGTAAACCAAATTAATTGCAATCATCTTCTGGTCATCTTTCTAATGATTAGCCATCAATTTCATCTTTACCCTTCTTATAAGTATAACTGTTCAGCCTGATGATGGATCCAAACATAGAGTAGTTAATTTACAATTGAACCAATCGATTGGAATCCAATCCATTATCAGGCCGATTTTACAATTACAGGTGAGTTAATGTGAAACCATTTTCTATTAATCTACTATAACGAACTGACCCTATTGACCAGAGGAAAGGCAAAGGGATAAAACAATTCAAGTTGACAGGAGAGAGAATCCAAATCTTATAATATCTCGGGTTCACATTTGAAGATCCACAGAGTTGACCAAATGTCCAATAGAATTGAAGATGACAAGATGAGTGAATTCTGTAAGTGCCAATAATCTATGAGAATTTAGAAGATGAAGATGAAGATGAAGAGAGAGAGAGAGAGAAATACAATTTATCAATAGAATTAATAATAGAAAAGAAAAACAAACCTTCAGTTATAGAAGGAAAAAAATCCGAATAAAATGAGAGCCTTTGAAAGAAAAAAGAACATGATTATTTAATATTATTGGAAAGTTTCCAAATATTCTATCAAGTAATCAACTAATTTCTTCCATGGTTAATACACAGAACAGACAATTAAACAAGAAAATTAAAAGGATTCACAAGATAATTAAAAGATAAACATGATGATTGAATGGAGATGATGGTTGGGAACATCAATGGAAATGAGTGAAAACCATGTGAATACACAATTTCCATTGAATAAGAATCACAATTAACAAGAAGAAATTTAATTCTATTGATCAAATTTCTATTATTAGTTAGCTTATTGGAGACTCAATTAGATTTTAAAATGATAAAAGGTAAACAATCAGTTAATCAACTGAAACCTCATTTGATTGGGATAACCAAAGTATCGAAGCCGATAATTAATCTTGTCCTCGAGAATTGAACACTATTTAAATTGTTAATCGATAATCAATCAATTGTTTTGCTTATTTTTTTTCTCCTTGTTAATCAACATCATGAAGCAGATTCTAAACAATTAAATCTAAGGAGGAAGTTAATTAATTCAGTGTTTCCTTTACTCTATCCAAGGTGTTTGCTCAACAATGGCTACTAAACAAGCGACTTGTAAGTATTTAACTTGATTACAATTAGTTTTAATTGTTGGTTACATTTGTATCTTTCTATGTGATAGACAATTTCAATGGATTAACTAATCTACCGGATTAGAATCAGATCAATATGAGATTAATAATTGAAGGAAATTTTTGTTTCTCTTTTACTATTACAAAGTTTTGTTTAACTTTTCAATTGGTTAACATGATAATCAACTAATTGATTAACTGATTCTTTGTACTTGAATCTATTTAACCAGAAAATGAATCAAAGTTAAATCATGATCAACATTGAGAATCTTGAATAATCATCAATCATAATGTTACATATTATTTATCATCATTTCTCATAAATCATAATCATCATTCAATTGTTTCCCTTTGATTTTTGGTTATTATTATTTTCAACTTACCGATTGATTAACATTGTTGACACTTTTTCAATCGTTTATCATATTCAAAGATATTCATGATGAATGTTGATATTATATCAGAATAGGAATCAAGTTTAATGGTGAAAAAAGTATTACAATGAATGAGTTTTCTGAGTAATTTGTTCTGATCATTTCTCTCAATATCTTAATAGTGATTCATTTAGATTCATGACCATCAAGTCAACTGATAGTTTAGATATTTTCAGTTCACATGGTGATTTTACCTGATTCAGTTTCATGATTAGAACTGACAGATAATCATTAATGAATAACAGCTAATAAGTTGATCAATGATTTAATCACCAAATTTGATAGATGAATAGTTGCAACTCCATTTTTACTCTGATTTTTTTACCATCGCTTGACCTTTAGTATTGACCAACAATTCAAGTCTTTTTGATCAATGATGATAAATATTATCCAGGGTAATGTTCAGTTCCTCGTTCCCTGAAGTATAAATGTCAAGCACAAGATCAGCAGGGTGATCGTTGTTGCTGGACAATCTACAAGAATGAATTTTTTTTGTTCGAAACTCAAAAGTTCAGTTGAGAATCTGAAATTATCAATTATCACTTTCTCTCCCAACAGTCACAGCCAAAATTAGGAATCTTCAAGAATCATGTAATCGGATAACAACAGGAGCTTTTCCTCAGCCCTCAGCGGCCGATATAACAGCGACACTCAAATTTTTCTCTCAAATTTTACTCAGGTAATTTTGTCGAGAATCAGATCCAATTGAATCTCAATCATCACTAAAAATGGATAATTTCAAATTTCTTTCCTTTTCTCTCTAGTGTTCTGAAAGATGCTCCAAGTATGTCGATCGAGGTGATATGTTCACCGGAAAGAGATCACAATCGAACCTCAATGTTTCCAAGTTTAGATTATAAAAGCCTTTATTCAACCTTAATTCAACTTCTCGAGCTTCTCCCTCACCTTCAATCGGGAATTCAGAGTAAGTATTGAAAAAGATTTCGAGAAAATCAAGTTGATTCAAAATTCTGATTGACTTGATTGTCCCTCTCTCTTACCCAGCGGTTGGTCAAACATTATTACACACGTTAAGTTGTTTGGTACCTTTTTTGGAGCACGAGTTCATGGACACACTGCCTTACATTGTAGCCTCTTCAATGGCTATTCTACCGAGTGCCCTTCACAAAGATCTACTGGACATGTTATGTTACAATCTCTTACCTTTTACCATAAGTAAGTATCACCTCGTGTTCATGATAAATCAATTCACCATCAAAGAGTAACTCTTATCATGAACAATTAAATTACCATCTAAAAGATTCAGATCATAAAGAGATCAGACAATTTATAGCTAATTACAAGTTCATTAGTAGTTTAATTGCTGTTAAAATTGTAACATTATGATGATCATGTTTTCCTTCAGTAATTATCATGAATAAGTTAAATTAACTTTTTTAAAGCGGAAAACTCATTTAATTGTTACACTTTCATTTTCAAACAAATTATGAGATTTTAATTGTACATTATGATTAAAAAACTAAAAGTGATTAACTTTATATTAAAAGTGGAAATTGATTGTTAACAACAAAAGTTTTATATTATTACTATTTTTAAAATACTTTATTAATACTTTCACTCTTAATTAGCTTAGGGTAATTAAAGTTCAATCTCTGTGTCTTAACTAATTGAAATCTCTGTTTTGTCTTAATTACCAGGAAATCGAGATGGTTTTGATAATCAAAATTTCACCAACATTTCAGTTTCAGCGATCATGATGAATGTCTTTTTTTACACCGATTCACCATCTTATTATACTCAGTTGATTGAAACTCTGATGAAATTAAAAAAAGACGTTGTCAAGGATTTATTTTGTGTTATCGCTCATGGGACAGTTAAAGCCCGTTGTCCAGCAGTTGAATTACTTTTCCAATATTGGCCTGAACTGAATCCCTCACCTTTAGATCGTAAAGTTTTATCGGAAAAACATATTATCTGGTCACCATTATCATGTCAACATGAAAATTGTGCATCAAGTTTGTCTAATGAAGCGGTTAAAATGTGTATCGATCATACAATTGCAATTGGTTCTGGTGATCGAGCACCGCCAATGTTGATCTGTATCGAGTGCGCTGATCAAATTTATAAAGGTAAATCACGATCAACCCTGGTGGACATTTTACTTCCCATGGAAGAAATATCTTATACCTGTGTTAACAAAGCGTGTAAATCATCAATAGCTCAAAAAATAGCGGTTGCGACTTGTTTCTCACCAGAATGTGTCAACTACAACTGTAATAAGCCTGTTCGTTACTGTGCTCTTTGTGATTCCTGTAAACACTCATCAACTGAATCAATTGATCATGTTGTCCATCGTACGATAACATCACCATGGAAAATGGATCCAGAAACTCAAAGTTATTTCATCGAGGCAATAGTTAACCTACTTCGAGAAGCTCAACCGATCACAGAGAAACCCGGTAAAGAGGCAACATCAACAATACAATCTTCGGGCAATAAAATGTCCACCAGTGGAGTTGGTGGAGGTGGTGGCGGTGGTGGTGGAATTGGATCAAGTAATATACCCGGTGGAATGCCGACTGAAGAGTCTAATGGTAACATGGCTTTAGAGGAGAGACAATTACTTAGTCGTTATGGTGTTTGGCTGATTACAAGTCTTTGTACTCCGATCGATGAGACACCCGATGATGTTTTAGGCCGTTTATTGAGTATACTTTTCCAATGGTTTCATTATACCGCTTGTCTACCCGATGATCAGGCTGGATCGGCGTTGGAACGGCTTAAGGGTGAATGTATTCATGGCTGGTTAATGAAAGTGGTTAAAACTCATTTTCATGTTTTCTCCAATTGTTTACTTCCACACCCTGCTGATTATGCCAAAGTCGGAGGTCACTGGGATTGTTGGCCTTCCCAAACTAATCAAATTAAGGAAGGATTTAAGCGACTCCTTTGTCTAGTACCTTATGACATAATTACACCCGAAGTTTGGTCTAATATTATGCCTTATTGGATGGAGTGTTTTCGCCATGAAGTGCCTGAAGATGAACTCGCTGAATTGAAAATTCTTTTGAGTAAAGTTCTTGATCCAGATTTATCCCCGTTAGGTCTTAGTCCAAAACAAATGTACGAATTTATCAGCGTTAAATTTAATAATACGGTTGCTCAGGTTCAAGAACAAGCTCTTTACTGGATCCAGGTAATTATCAGATGATTAACATGACAAAGTTTTAATTTCTTTAATTTTCTCAAATTTTAATTACTTTGCTTGGAGTTGATTGAATTTACCTGTTCATAGTGTATCGAAAGTGACAATCATTATTTTATTTAATTTCTCTCCTTGTCTTTCCTATTCTAACAATTCTAGAAATTAACCATGTTGGAAGTTCCGGTTCCGTTGAAATTACTTTTAACTATGTTTAATTCTGGAGTAAAATCTTTGTCCAATCCTGATCGGGCTAAAGTGCCTTTCTCACCAATTTACAAAGTTTCAACTTATCCGATTCCAAGTCCAAATGAACGATTCAAAGAACCTCGATTTGGGACCAGTGGACAGCAACAACAATCGGCCAATGGACAACCAACACCAACAAGTAATGGACCAGATGAGATTATAACGGAATCATCAACAGACCAATTACAATTTCCAATCAATGATGATAATCTTAACCTTACATGTTTCATCCTAATGTTGGATATTTTAATCAAACAAATGGAGCTTCAAGATATACCTTCTCATAAAGGATTAGAAAATCGTGATATCGAACCTGTTTTAACCTTAATGTTGGACATATTATTAACTTCGTGGCCAGGTAATCATAATTGTGACCAAGAGGATGATTATCGTCATACAAGTGATAAAGATGAAGCTCAATCGGTTCAGTGTCAATATTGTGAAATGATTGCAATTTGGTATCAATTGGGTTTGGTGTTGATGGAATATTTTTGCCCTGTTATGGAGGCCACAATGATCGATATTCCCTTTGAACCTATTCGAAATTTGAACACAATGACCTCTGACCCTAAATGTTCAACTGGTAAAGATGATGGATCGGCAACATCGGCAGAAAATACAACATTAGATGGAACCAAATCAGCAACGATTGAGGTGTTTTCTGATGCTTCCGGTCAACGATTACCAGAAATTGAATCAGAATCACAGTTAAGTTCAAGAGTTTTACCAACAGATGATGAAAACTGTTTACTGACCACTGGTCATTTTCATGTTACCTCTGTAAATGTAATGGATGCAACCAACTCATCGGAACCTGATAAACCAACGATCATTGACCAACGAGCCGGTGGCTGTTTCTGGTTCACCACCCAAGGAAAATTCAAATTTAAACTTGAAGAATTACCTGTTCAACTCAGACTTTTACATGTTCTACTCAACAAATTGTCCAGTTCATCCGATGCTGATGTTTTATATCATATTGTTTATATCCTCAAATTGATGGCACTTCACTCTGAGATCCTCAATAAAGCGGCTAAAAATCATCGAGGTTTCTTGATCTGGTGCCAGGAGAATCTATTAATTCCTAACCTTTGGTCACTTCTTCAGTCCGAATTCAGTCAAATATCTCAATTAACTGTTCCCCTGCTTCTTCATTGTATTACTCTACCTGCTGGTCGTGAGGTTTTCCTCAAACTGGTTGAAGGCGATTTCCATGATTCTGATTGGCGAAAGCGTTTCACTGCCGTTGAAAGAGTGACCACTATTGCTCATTTTCTAGAAAGCTCAGTGGTCAAAAGTTCCCCTTCCCTTCAATCCTCACTGACCAATGCTATTTGTTACCTTGTCCATTGTCTCGATGACATCGAATCAACTGTCGCTCAGCGATCTCTCCTCAACTTGGAATCAATCAAAACAACGTCACTGAAACTTTTGGTTTGGTGTCTCGAAGCTCAATTTGATTTGGTTCTAATCGATAGGCCAATAATCCTGCAAACAATTTTCCAATTGTACAATCATCTTTCCGATCGACGCTTTTTAACTTGGGACTTTTTTCTCAACCGTTTTGATGCTCTTTTCTTGGAAGCTCAGGTCAACCTTGAACGACTCGGTGAAATAAGTTACACCCGTGATTTGAAAAACACCAACGTCAACTCAGAAATGTACCAGAAAAAGTTGACTCGAGTCCATGAGGCCTTGTCGCAGGCTCATCTTTCCCGTTCACTGTCCTTCTCTTTTGGCGGTAAATTTAGTGCGAATGCCAAAAAAGCAGCAACGGCTTCTGATCCCTCAGCGAAACAGGCAGATAAAAGTGTCCTCCGTCAGGCCGTTGCTCCAGCGGTAAGACGAAAATCATCTCGATTTACTGGTAACTCAGCGATACCTGATAAATTCCGGCACTTGCCCAATAACTTTTTCACCGATAATCAATTGAAAGAAATTGCTCAGGAAGAGAATCACATCATGCACGTTGTCCATAAAATCGTCGAACTCGAAGAGCAAGATCGAGATACAATGCATTCACTTATATTCTTATTGATGCAATTTCTTTCCCGACCCGATCAATCTCACCCACAGGAGGAAAAAACCATGGCTCGTAATCAGCAAATTGTCTTGCGACATTTGAACATTTTACTTGGATTTTCACCATCAGAGAAACAATTTCTTGTAACTGCAGTTAATTTGAGGACATTTCCCGTTTTCAACGCTGTCATCGCTTCCATGCCCAAAGTGTTGGACTTTAATTTTAAAATGGGCAACATGCTATTAGGAACCTTTTTACCTCTTCTCATTTTTTGTCCCTCATCGCAAAAATATGTCGCCGATCTCATGGTCAAACCAACCTACTCCCTTTGGTACCTTCAACCGCACGTACGAGAATCATGGCTCATGTCAGTTCTAATTATCCTTTACAAGGTAAGTGATCTTTTGTTTCTCATTGCAAATTTCGAGTCAAATTTTGATTTGATTTTTTGTTTTTACAGTACACTTATAATGCTACTCCGATATCGAAGCACATTCAAGCATTGATAACGATAGTTATGAATACATTGGAAGCTCAATTCCACCAATGTCGTACCACCAGGGAGCATTTCAGTCCAGTTCCGTCAAGATCGAGAGGTGAGTTCTATCGAAGATCGAAATTGAGTTGACCTTTTACTCTAAATTTGTGTTTTTTTTGTTCTCAATAAGATATGAGCGCCACTTCCATGGATATTGAAGATCAAGTTGAACCCGAAATGGAGCCATTGTTCAGAGCGGAAGATACTTCGGCTCCGATTTTTACGACCGGTTCTAGCGAGGATTCTATCGATGGTGATGGTGAAGGTGAACCTGAACTTGAAGTTATTCTCGAAAGTCCAAAATCTGAAGAGTATGATGAATCTGATGGGGCCAGTTTATCGGCTGGTGGGACTAAAGAAAAAATTTCTTGTCAAGAGAAAGAAACTAAAGTTATTCAAAAAGAAATTGATTCATTTGTTATTCCAATGGGAACTAAAGATGATGATGAAACTATCGACAAAGAAGTGATAACATCCAGACCAGAATTTCCTCCGATAGTACCAACAGAATTGATTGAGAAGCCAAAGTCACAGGAAATAAAACAAGTCCAGGAAACGGAAATGATTCAAATGCCAATAAATGATGGGCAAGAAAATGAAGAAGAATCGTCAGATTCAACTGGCCGATCAAAGTCCAAAATTTCCCGATCCCCATCGCCGAAAACAAGTAATCAACTTACGAGTGAAGGTTCATTCAAATTGAAACGAACTGATTCAGTTTACGACAGTGAAACAAGTGAATCAAAAGAGATCGAGATAACTATTGATACAACTCCAGGTTTCCCATTTTCGATAACGGAAAAGGTCACTTCGGAAGAGAAACGAAGAACCAAACAAGGAATCAGTAAAGTTCTGAAAAGTTTCAACGAAGATACTAACCAACAATCAACTGATTCTCAGGTTCAACCAAGTGAACAAAAGATAATCTCTGGTGGTGGTAAACCAACTGGAGGTTGGAAGTTACTTGATGATCCTTCAAGTAAACCGATTCTACCGATTAAACCTGCACCCGAACGTTTATTACCCATTGGACCCGCCGTTCGATTACCAAAAAAACCCGGTTCTCCTTCGTTCTTTTCAACGCCAAGCTCACAGACGACAGTTACATCGCCACCTCCTCTATTACAATCGATGACTCAACCAACTCAATTAGAACTTGGATCTTCATCTTCAGTACCGTTTTCAAATATTCCAATATCTCGTCCATCTTCATCCGAATTACCTCAACTCTCAATACCTCCAACGGAGCGTTTACTGCCGATCGGTCCAACTCCCCCTTTCAAAAGTCCTCGTTCAATTGGGAGACAATTCTTTTCACCTCCACGTTCAACTTGGCCTGAAGATAATCGTCCAAGTTCATCTGTAGATTTGGTGCCTAAAACTGAATTAAGCTCAAAAGAAAGTGACCACGAATCATTTTCTCGTCAAAATTCTGACACAAATAAACATCGAAAACTCAGAGAACCATCACCTTCCCCTGTACGATTGAAATCAGTGAAATCTTCAAGTATATCTCAAGATAAAATGATCGAAAACATGGAAACATCGGACAAACAAGTGACCGATGAAGAGCAAATCTTTACACCTCCACGAACTTCAAGTGTCGATAAAGATGAAACATCAATTGTGATTCCAAGTGAAATTGTGAAAATTAACCAAACAAATGATTCTAATCAACAGCAAAATCAAACATCGAGTTCCACCGGAAAAGTTAAATCATTAGTCAAAGAATCAACTATTGATGTCGATTCTATTAAATCATCCGATAAAAGTGTTCCCTCTGAACGGAATGGAAAACCGATTCGAGCTCCATATCTACAATCATTGAAGAAAAATTCACTTGATCAAAGTATATCGATCGATATTCCTGAAAGTGATCTAATCGAAGTGAAAACATTGCCTTCTCAACTAATCGAAAAACCTATTGATTCATCTGATAATTTAATCGCAACAACCTCGACAACAGTGACAACAATCTCAGCGACAATAACAACGACTTCAACTTCAACAGTTACAACAATTATTTCAACAACTACAACAACAACACCGGTGAAGAAAGTAAAACTTCACGTCCTTTATTTAAGCCCAAACGTAAGCGTAGACCAACCGGAGGTCAAACAGAGACACGAACAGCTGATATCAGAAGTAGCAATATTCAAAGTGCCGGTGTTGCCGCTGGGGTTCAAAGAAGAGCTCGAAAAATTGATGTTTCCACTTCAGGCACCACCGGTTTACCGTCTAAGAGATCAAGCACTTCACAATCGTCGTTAGCGCTCGCCGAGGATTCTGTCAATGAACGATGCTCATCCTGTGGCTCAATTCTGGAAGAGTTTTCGGAAGATGAAATCGGAATGTGTATCGTTATACTGGGAAGTTATGTCCATCGAGAACCCGCCATGTCAGCGCCCTTATTACCCGATATGCTTAAACTCATATCAAAATTTGCTCTACACACACCATACCCTTGGCAACATGAAAGGTTAGCCTGAAAAAGAGTCCAATTAACAACAATTAACTAATCGTTTCTCTCTCTCTTTATCAATCAGTCAAAATGTCCACCTACCCGGATGCGCTCGTACGATTGCTCAACAATTTTTCCGTTGTACTCTCCAACAATTAGCCTCTAACGGCATTTTCCAGCAAATTTTCAACTCGCATTTTCCAGGTAATTACAGGAAAATTTAGTCTGATCATCGACAATTAACTCGTTAACCTTAACTCTTTCACTCATTTCACTTCTAGACTCTGAATTTTTCAAAGCAATGGCGACATCGCTCACCGATTTCATGGACACCAACCAAGTGACACCATTGACTAAACTTTTAGAGGTAATTAAATGGTGAATTTTAATTGTTTCGTTTAATGATTTAATATTTTTCCGTAATAGGGATTCAATGAGAAGAAACATTTACCCCCTAAGGCGCAATTGTTTCACGTTCTATCGAATGCCGCTCATTACATGGAGTGTATTCCATTGGAAATGGTTTCTCAACAGTCTTGGAATACATTTCTACCCATTTTTGATACATTTCTACGAAAAATGGAATATATTTTCCCTTCCGTTTCCGGTGAAGTTTGTGATCTTACCCCCGTGATAAGAATGATGTTAATCACTCTTAAATTGTCTTGTCTCAATAATCACCGATCAATCCTTGAACCTTATGCTAAATTTGTAAGCCAATCGATTCAACGAAGTCCATTAGGTTATTCTCAACTTCTCGAACTTTGTCACTACTCTGGAAGAGTATTTTCTAAAGATCGTGATCGATATTTTCTTACTCGAACGATTGTCGGTGAACTGATTGGTGCCATTCGCTTCAAAACATTCATTCCCGACGAGAATCTCATGATGTTGGTCCAGTTTGTCCTTCAAGATCTCGATGGCACTTTGGTCTACTCTGTGGTTACCGAACATCTTAAGCCCAATTCAGATCCATCCATAGAACATTTTAACACCAATGCTTGCGAATTCATCAAACCTTATGTCAACGATATCAGTGAATTCATCACTGATGTTCATACACTCAGTCGAATCAAGGTAAAGTTGATAATCGGCAGGTCATGAAATCGTTGAAATTTTCGTTCTATTGTTGATCTTTAACCTTTTTTTCTGTGCTTAGAGTACATTTTTGGGAACTTGTATCCACCTGAATGAGGAAACAATTGGTGGACATTTGAAAGCGGGATTATCACAAATTCTTGCCCTCGAGATAACCAAAAGTAACGGACGAGACCATCGAGCGGTCACTCGATACTTACCCTGGTTGTACAGTTTACCTTCAGTCCAACAAGGGTCAGTCATTTAATGACCTTTTTTATTTGTTCTTTTGTGGGTAATTAACGGTAATTTTTTCTCTCTATCGTTAACAGGCCGAAAGAATTTCTTGATTGTGTTGCTCATATTCGTATTCTATCATGGATACTTTTGGGTTCGTTGCAACATTCAGCACTCATGCAGCACCATCCGAGTTATTCACTGTCACAACCTATTCCGTTGGAGGCCAATGGTCACATCGCTGAACATATTCAAGTGATTCTCGCAGGATTTGCTGAACAATCAAAAGCCTCGGTCATTCATATGTCCAGTTTGTTTCATGCGTTCATCTTGTGCCAACTTTGGACTATGTACTGCGAAAACATATCGGCACAAAATCCACCCGGAAGTGAACAATATCAACAATGTACTTTAACGTTATCCGATTTTTGGGCGAAAATCACTCCAGGAATATTACAATTAGTTTGCCATTCGAAAGTGGTACGTAATCAATTTCTCACAATTCTATGTGTTAATCAACTTGATTATATGTTTTGCTTTTAAATTGTCACAAAATTTGCTTCATTTAAACAACAATTTGAAAAGTTCATCAACTTTTAGACCATCTAAACGTTTCAGTATATGTCAAACCATTTAAACCCCTTATTAATTAGCTTAATTGTTACAACAACATTGATTATAAATGTTTAATTGTTAATCGTTTTGATTTAATTGTTTTTTGCTTTTCCTTTTCCCTTAATCCAAACGCTTTCCCAATACATGTTGATTAAAAGGATGAACCACCTCAGGTATTAATTGTATTTCTGTGTAACTAATTGTTAATCACTATATTTGTCGCTTTCCCATCAAACTGATTGTAACAATTTACGTTTGAGAAGAAAAATGAAAATACTAATTGATTAATTTTCTAATCAACAGTTAGCTGAAATGGTTTCATTACATTTCCTCAGTCTTATGGAAGCTTTAATGGAGTGTAATTCAAATATTCTTGCCCGGGTAAGTTTAATTGTCACTTAGAATTTGTTGAATCAAATTAACAATCAATTTCTCGCCAGTTATTACCAATGTGGGTTCCAGTTTTCCGTAGTTACGAAGGTCAACTTTCCGGTCATCTTCAGGTTCGATTACAAACTTGTATCAATTGGCAACCACCTCCACAAATGAGACAAGATTCAATTAATAATAAATCATATCCAAGTCCAATGTTACGTTGGCTTCAAAAGTTACAATTTAAAATGGGACAGATTGAAAATCAATCATCAACAGCGATACAATTTTATTGTATGTGAACAATCAACGTGATAATCAACAAGTCAACAACTTAAATGATTATCCAATTAACTGGAATCATCTAAAATCAATTGAAATTAATCAATTTTAAAACCATCTACAATTTAAACTCAGTGAAATGTTATTATTTTGATGATTTAAAAGCAAAAAATTTACTTCGAAATCATTAACAGTTAAATTGTCTAAATTGTTACATTAATGTCTTAATTAATACTATGAAAAAAGGTGAAGATAGAGAGAGAGAGAAAAACAATTAATCGTTAATTGTATTACTTGGGTAAGTTAATGTTTCTACAAATTGATTGATTGTTTAATTGACTGTGAAAATATTATTAATTCAATTGTTTTGTCTCGTTCACTAATAGGTTAATTTGGGAACAATATCGACAATTGATTCAACAATTAGCATTTTCAACAGATCATATTGATTAGATTGTAATTTTATTATACAATTTAACTTATTGTTAGTTAATCTTGTGTTAGTTTTATCTGATTAGATTTAATTTGAAAGTTAAATTAAAATATTGTTAGTTAGGAATCGATTGTTACTAATCAAGAGGCTCAAAAATCAAGGAATGGATTTAAATTACTAAACACTGTGGATTAAATGACGAAATTAAATTGGTGGTTAAATTGATTTAGATGAGTTTCATCAGCGATGTTAATATTCAACAAGCAATTGTAAATATCAAATTGGAACAAAATTTATCTCTCATCATGAAGAAAAAGAACAAAAAATTATTTTTCTTATATATATTGACACAAAATTCAACCTGAATTCACTAGTTAATGTTCAATTGTTAATGGGGTGAAAGAAGATGTAAATTGTAAATTGTTTACCACAATTAAAACTAATATGAAATAACAAAGTAAATTGTCAAGTGTTTCAATTGATTATTGAAAATTTAAAGATGAATTAAGTTCCTGATTTGAAGTAACAACTGTTGATTGGACACACAAATATAATTAATGGTAAGTGAATTAAATGAGCACAAATGGATAGCACTTAAAATGGGGATAATCAAATAGATTGTTATGGAAAAAAAATTAACCAAGAAATTGATTAATCAAATTGAGATTGAGATCAGTGAAAGTAAACAACAGGAGAATCAGGAAATTGTTTACCTATTCCGAATTTTTGTAACATTTTATCAATCAGACAGTTAAGTCTAAAAATCAGCTCGTAATACTTACAACCCTTTAATAACCTTTTTCTTTCAATGGTGAAGAAGCAAAAGAACAAAGTAAATCAAATCAAGAGTTAAATTGAGTAACCAAGGTACCAAAAAAGAAAGCAGATTAAACTGACAGAGAAAAACAAATAGTAAAACCGAATCAAACCAAATCAAACCAAATCAAACCAGAATAGAAAAGGATTCCAAAAAAAGGTTTAACCATGAAGATGAGGATGAAACACACAGACACAAATAAATCAACACGAGACAAGGAGAGAGAGAAAGATCAACAGTAAGAGAAAACTAAATCACAATTAAGGAACCAAAGAAAATGAATTGAGAAAAATTGAAAAAGAAAATTTGGAAAAAAAGAGAAAAAAAGAAAAAAATTCCAAACCCAAATGAAGAAAACGGAGAAAACAATTAGAAAAATTGTTACAACAAAACCATCACCATAGAGAGAATGACATTCAACACATATTGTTAGAGAACAAACAAATTAATTAACTGTAATTAATTGTTCTCAATTAATTTAAATAAAAAGTGAGACAAACGAAAACTAGAATTAACCAGAAATTGGAAAGAAAGAGTAAATTTGAAAAAGAAAGAAAAACAATGAAAAGAAAGAGAAAAGAAAAAGAGAAAGAAAGAGAATCGAACATGTGGTGACCTCTTCTCATCAGAATAGAAATTATTTGTTCTCAAGCAGAATAAAGTGCCAAGTTCGTTTCCAAGGGTCGACAACAGATGGAGCCAAAAATCTCCCTTGGTGATTATCTGTTTTTCCGGAAAAGGAAAAGACTTTTTTTTTCTCATTGTCTCTCTCTCTCTTTCTTTTATTAACTAACTCTTGTGATTATAAAACTAGAAGAGTTGAATAACTATATATTAGTAGGAATTGTATTCTATCAGTTTTTTTGTTTGTTTGTTTCTTTCTTTGTTAATAGTAACATTTAGCCAAAAAATGCAAGGAGCTGCAGCCACACAAGGCGATGGTATCCCTACCTTCAAATGTATTCTGGTCGGTGATGGTGGTACCGGAAAGACTACCTTTGTAAAGAGACATCTTACTGGTGAATTTGAGAAAAAATATGTTGGTAAGTTATGAGGGTGAATCATTTGTCTTGTTTCTGGTTCTTTCTATTCTAGTTATTGTGTCTGTGTCTGTGTCTGTGTCTTCTCTAATCTTCTATTTTTTTCACTTTTGGTTTAACTGTTCTTTTTTTTATTCTATTGTCATCCTTTTCCTCTGCCATTTTTTTTTTGCTTCTGTTTAGCCACTCTTGGTGTTGAGGTTCATCCTCTTACCTTTGATACAAATCGAGGTCGAATTAGGTTTAATGTATGGGATACCGCTGGTCAAGAAAAATTTGGTGGTCTTCGGGATGGTTATTATATTCAAGGTGATTGCGCCATTTTAATGTTTGATGTAACCTCACGTATAACTTACAAGAATATCCCTAACTGGTATCGAGATTTAACCAGAGTATGTGAAAATATCCCCATGGTACTTTGTGGAAACAAAGTTGATATTAAAGATAGAAAGGTCAAAGCAAAATCAATCACTTTCCATCGGAAAAAGAATTTACAGGTTGGTCACTTTTTCTACATGTGCATGTTTGAAATTCACTTTTTTTCTTTTAAAATTCTAACCCTTTTTTTTATATAATCTTTGTCTTTATTTTTTTCTTTTCTAACTCTTTTTCAATCACCTTCAACAGTACTACGATATTAGTGCGAAATCTAATTATAATTTTGAGAAACCATTCCTTTGGTTGGCCCGTAAATTGATCGGTGATCCTAACCTTGAATTCGTTGCTATGCCGGCTCTTGCACCTCCCGAAGTTACCATGGATCCAGAATGGCAAGCCAAACTTGAGAACGAAATGGAGGAAGCTAAGAAAATCAGTTTACCCGATGACGATGATGAAGATCTTTAGATTATTGTTTTGGATTTTCTTCATAATATTGATCACATCATCTTTATCTTCATCATCTTTCCTTGCTCTTTTTTCCAAGTCGTCATACTAAAAAAAAGAAGAAGATACTTTTCAATGATCCCCCTCATCAAATCAACACTCATCTCTCTTATATAAGTTGATGTGTTATCTTGATCCCAACCACAGGCATCATTGTTTTTTTTCAAATCAACTAACATTCAATCTACTAACTTACACTTCACTCAACCCTAAAACACCACCAACACCACCAATACCACTACCATACACACACATATACACACTCTCTCTCTCTCATCAATCTCTCTCTTTTATTTTCTCTCCTTCTGTATCCTTCACCTCCTTTTCAAATATTTCACAAACATATTTAATATTGTCATTTGTTTCTGTTTGAAAAAAAAGAGAGGCTTTGTGAATAATAAAAACAGAAAAAAGAAGAGATTAGGTAACAATTGAAAGAAAAAAGAAACTAAAAATTATCTCATTAAATTTAAAATTTATCCAAAATTCGATATCAAAAGTCGCCATCTATGGGAATTAAATGAATACTTTTTAAGAGAATAAATGAAAATTCGAAATCAACAGATGGCGCATAAAGAAAGAGAAAAAGGTTTTGCCCTGAAGAGAAAATAAATTAACCCTTTGGATTATAATTAATCTTCTTACTTTATAATTAAATCTACGGATAAAATGGAAACAATTAAAACTGAATCATCTTTAACTTATCAACAATTGTTGAAAATTGTGTTGATTGTGAAAACAAGAAAATTTAATTTAGGGAGAGTGAATATCAAACTAATTTCAATGAATTAAGATGATAACCTATCATAGGTTAACCTTTTGCTACTCATCATCTTATCTCATCATCATCATCATCTTCTCTCTCTCTCTCTCTCTCTCTCTCTCTCTCTCTCTCTCTTTGATTATTCTCTCGAGGCATAAAGAGTGAGAGAGAGGAAAAAATTTTCAAACCTTGCGGAAGTAAATCAGAAAGTTTTTTCTCTCGACCCCAACTACAACTACACTTCCCAAGATTCACTTGTTCATCATCTTTAACCTCTCTCTCTCTCTCTCCCTCTCCCTCTTCTCATGTTTCCCTTTTTCTCTCTCATTCTTATTCAGTGCTCACTTGAATTTCTCTCTCTCTCTCTCTTTCTAAATCTGGAATCACTTTAATCCAGTCTCTTTTACCTTCTTTCCACTTTACCTGTTGACTGAACACTCTGATCATCAACATCATCATTTAGTTGATTTTTTGTCTCTTTTTTGTTCTCTTTTATTCTTCTGATTTTGTGTCGCCGATTACCAATAATTTTAAATTACCAACACTCATGGTTACAATTAATTGTGTTTAGTTAAATTTCTACTCTTCTAATATCCTGTGTATCGTTTATAAAACTTTTCTCTGTGATTTCCCTCTTAAATTCTATTTTCAAGTTTAAATTAAAAGGCTAATGTTCCCAGAGAAATGGCTTTTTTTCATCAACTACAATTATTATTAAGACATCGACTTCTTCTTCGTAGAAGACAAATTGTAAGTTCTATCAAAACCAAATTTTCTATGGATAATTAATTGTTCCTGTTAATTGTGTCTTGTCTCTCTCACTCTTTGTGTGTTTGTGTTTTCTTATTGTGCTTATTTGTTTCCTCGAATTGTTTCTCTTTCCCTCTTCTTTTTTCTTCGTCTCATTTATGTGACCTGTTGATCATCTCATCTTTTCTCACCTTCGCCATATTGGATTTTCAATATTCTTTCAAATTTTTAATCATCATCATCTCTCTCTCTATTTTCTTCATTAATTCTCATAGTTTCACTTAGGATTAGAAGTATTTTGGCCTGCGATCGTCTTTTTTACTGTGCTTATATTTAGACTTAAATTTCCACCAGAATCAAATGATTCATGTGAGTATAAATTTTGTGTCTCCATCGATGTTTATCTGTTAATCTCCATCCAAAAGTGATCGCCATTTTTTCTTCTTCTCCTCTGTCTTGTGTTAATGTGATTTTGTCTCTAACTGATTTGATTCTTCAAAAATCTTCACATTCTCTCCTCTTTTTTTTCAATTCAATTCAATTTTCTCTTTCTCTTTATTTGATTTCTTTACCTTTAGGCTTTTATCATGCCAAGGGTTTACCTAGTGTTGGAGGAGTTAATTTTTTTCAATCTTTAATCTGTACAATTGATAATCCATGTTTAAATGAATCGTCTTACTCAGAAGTACCAACGTTTCCAGGCTCAAGGTAAGTCAACCGTTTGATTTTTTTCTACCTTCAAGTCTCAACAAACTTTAAGGTGTAAAGTGAAGAGAAACAGAAACAGAAACCTGATAATCTTTGCCATCATCATCATCTTTTTACCTTTTTCTTAAATCATCATCATCATACCATCCATCTTTTTCCAATCATCCTCATCACCAATTTACAACAATAACAATTAGTGGGGATTATTTTATCATCATAAGACTGACCTTTAATAGTTACAATTAATTTTCTCTATCTTATTGTTATAAATATCTAACAAGTATCAAGATAATATTGACAATTAGATTTAATCTGTTGATTTATTTTTTCTCTTTCTCTCTTTTCACCAATTCAATGAGTTGACAGCAATCAGAAAATCATACAATACTAATCTTCACTTTAAAGAGAAAAAGATTGTAGACCATTTTTTTTTCTATTCAACCAAAATAACAATTAGTTTTACTACGAAATCAAATTAGATAACACAATCAATTACATAGTATATTCTTGATTTCTTGTTAATTAAATCTAATCAATTACATGTAATTAGCACAAAAGGGAGACATTAATTAGTTATGATAAGTTGTGATTATCTCATCGATTCATTGACATCCTTTTTCTTCATTGTTTATTATTAAATATTAGTGATAATTGGTAATCATGACAATTACCAATTATCGTGAAACAAATGACATATACGAGTGAAATTTCCAAGTAATTTTTGACTGATTTCCTTTTCCTCATTCCGTGAAATCAGTTTGCCAAATACACCAAAAAAAAGTAACTAAGTAACTGTTAAAATGATCGACCAATGAACCGGATAGGATCATGTTGTTGTTGCTGTTGTTGATGTTGTTCTTGACGATGATAGTGATGATGATGATGATGATGATGATGATGATGATAATGTTGATGATGTTGATGATAGTGTTTCTCAATATTTTTTTCACTATAACAATTGATTTAAAGTTAAATTTTTTATTTCCTCGCCTTTCATCATCATGATTTAAAAATATTAAATGATTTATACTTTATTAATTGGCCTGGTCTACATTTTTATAGGATTCACGAATTGGTTGAACATTTATCACCACTTTTAACGGACACTTCGATAACCAACATTGTCCATGATTTACCTTCTGGAATCAACTTACTTTCCACTCTAGTGGATAAACTATATCACCCGGAAGTTCGTGGTATTCTTGAAGAGGGTGGTTCCGTTGCAGACAATGTAAGTATACCAATTAATTTACCGTTATTTTTATTCTTTGAAAACAAAGTCACTCAATTGGATTTAATTCAAGATGAAAAATAATTAATGGGCATGTCAATCAGATAATCAATTGGATTAACTTGAATTGTTTATTTTGTTTCATAAACCTTTGACATTGTTTCATTATAATTATAATTATTGTTGTATTGTTTTTGTGAATGTTTAATTTTTCTAATTATTCATTAACAGATTCAGATTGATCAGAATAGCTTGAATGGAAAATTAATTATTGAATGTGAATGAAGGAGAAAGAGAAATCTATTATTGATTGTTAAGTTAATCACTAATTAAGATCATTTAAAAAGTGGTAAATCATTTTCATTATCATCATCACCATCAAACCAAATAGAGGATAAAATCGTTATTTATTATCAGTAGAAAAAAAAATTAACTATAATCATCATCATCCACCAATAATACAATATAATAGTTAAAATATTAATTGACACTCTTTTATCATTTATATACTTGTGTGTGAGTGTGTGATTGTTTATATTTACAACAATCAAGATGATAATGATGAGTAAAAAGCACACACATACACACTAATCAACTATCAACAACGAATCAAATTAAGTTAGACTGATCTTCTTTCAGGTTGATTGAACCTGAAACAATTACTATTGAAAACCCTTTGCCCTGATTGATCGGTCGATGGAAAATAATTATCCAGTCCCCCCTTTATACTTTTCTTTTCTTTTCTCTTTCTCTTCATCTTCTCCATCCCTTGTTACCAAAAAAATGAGTTAAGGGGGACACACATACACACCACACATACATAAATAAGATGATATTATATCAGAAAGATGAAGATGAAGTGAAGGCGACCTGATGAAAAACAAGTTTTAGGCCTTTAATCAATTAACCAGAAAATGTTTTTTATTTATTCAGTTAAATTGCCTGACTGATAATTTAAATTCTATTCTATTCAAAAACAATTGACTCTAATGAATTCATTTTATTTAATTGACTTTTATTTTTCATATATTCTATTATAACAGTTTATTCAATTGATTGGAGATGAAATATTGACCAATGCCGGACTTGATAGAGCACAAATACCAAGGATTCTGGCCAGTTTACAATCAGCGGCTTCATCGATGCCTCTTGTCAATGATTTTATTAATAAATTTACGCTGACTCTGGATCTTCAGGAAGATACGAGTCAACTTGATCTTAAAAGAGATGGCATTGATCTTATAGCAAGTAAGATATTATTATCATCATCATAATCATTTTCTCAACATCTTCTTCCTCCTTTTTCTTCCCTCTTACTTTGGCCCTCCTCAGGTCATTATTATTACATCATTAACGTTTGCAGGGCCGAATCATTTCATTTTAAACAAACAAGAAACCAGTAAGAAAGAAACAGATTTACGTCACAATTTGTGTTCTGATTATGATGTTTGTGTGTTGTTTTTGTTTATCTTCCCTTATTTTCACCGTTATTTCTCAACTTATTGCGAGTTACTAATACCTGTTGATAGATATAATTTGTTATTATTAGGTTGGTCAGTTTGTGTTATAGAGATTAAATGAGAAAGAGAGTAGATAATAGAGATTAATTTAATCATGATAGAAAACACTGGGTGGTTCAAGTAGGCAATAATGATTGACGTACTTTGTTTTTTTCTTATTTAGTAACATTATTGTTATCGCACGTTGTAGTAATCGCAATCGAATGTAGTTTAGTAAGAGAGACTCTGAATAGGTGAATTGTTATTTTTTTCTCATTTAATTGGAGTAACGATTTTTACGTCAATTTCCTTATCTATTTTGATGCACGAAAAATGTAAAGTCCAAGTGACAATATTATTGGATTAGGCTCGTTAAGATGATGATATCAGTATTTATAATGATAGTTATAATAATAATTAATTGTTCTGTTTAGGTTCTCATCATTAATAATTAATTTAATTTCTCTCTTTTCTTACTTTATGATTGTTTCCTTAATTACCTTTTTTAGCTCCACAAGCAGCGAAAATTATTGGTAAAACAATGTGTGGTCAAGCTCTTCCGCTTTTGACTGATGAATTTAGTCACTTAGAAGGACAGTCGGGCAAAGTTAATTCAGTTAATGAAGCCGAACTAAAAGCGTTACCAAGTGACTTTTGCCGTGATGGCTATCGTCAGATTATGAAACTTTCCACTGGACCAGTGATTTGGGCCTGGTTGAAACCTTTGTTAGCAGGTAAAATCCTCTATAGTCCAGAAAATACAGCAACTCGTGCCATCATGTCTCGAATGAATGGAACTTTTAGTGGAATGTCAACACTAGTTCGAACTTTACAAGACTGGTCATCTACTTTGGGTACACTAGAAAAATTCTACAGTCAACCAGGAATTAATGAACGTCTAGTAGCAGTTGAACCTCTACTGGAGAAAATTTTAGGCGGTAAGATGTCAGGTTTTGTCCTATCCTCAGATTCCAACTCTAAGGGTCAAATTGAAGCTCTAATTAATTCTGGAGGTATTCTGAAAATAGTTCAATTAGTGAGTAATATTGCTCAATGTTTCGAACTTGAAAGATTCATTGGTTATCCCGATGAAGTTGCCTTAGAGGAAGCAGCTCGTGTTTACACTTCGAGCCATGAACTCATCGCTGGAATTGTTTTTCTCAATGTGAATGATGAAAATGTGCCTGATAACTTGACAATGGATCTTGTTGTCGGTGATGAGACAACCACAATCACCAGTACTAATCAACCTCCATCCATCAGGTTACCTAAAAAAATTGAATACAAAATACGAGCAGATATTGACTTTGTACCAACCACCAAAGTTTTGAAAGATCGTATCTGGGAACCTGGTTCTAGAGACCATTATTCCAAACATTTAGGCTATTTCCGGGGATTCGTTCAGGTTCAAGAAATGATTGACCGGGCAATTACCTCAATACATATTAACGCTAGTGACCTGACCTTTGCCCCACCAGTTTCCCTACAACAATTCCCTTACTCTTGCTATAAGAAAGATAAATTTGGTTTCTTTATACTCGCCTTGACCCCGGTCATTTCAACGGTTGCCTGGATATTTTTAATTGCCTTTCTCATCCGTGATCTTGTTCTTGAACGAGAACTTAATCTTGAAGAGTATCTTCGCGTTACTGGTCTTAAAGCGTCCGTTGCATGGGTAACCTGGTTTCTTCTTGGATTCTCAGCAATGATCTTTGGCTCAATTTGTGGACTAACAATTTATAAAATGGCCAATCTGATTCCTCATTCAAACATGTTCATACTCTATCTTTATTTTACTGCATTCAGTTTCTCAGTTATCATGTATTGGTAAGTTTGGTTAATCTTTAATCTTATTTACTTTTGTTAATCACAATCAAACAACAAAAACAACAAAAAATCAAATCAAAACAAACTTTAAACAAGTTAAAAGGTCCAATTATCATTTTTCTGGTAAATCATATTGGGAAGGAAAAAAATTGATAAAACTGTATTAACAGTAAGAGTAGAATCAGTAAAAGTTAGTATCATATTATTATTATTATTACATAATGATGAGCGTAAAAATAAATTCTTATATTAATCAGTTAAAGTTAATCAAAAATTGAGAAGATGATTAACATTCAGGTAGCATCATCAATAGTAGAAAGAGTAAGAAAAAAAAATAATTCATTTACTGAACTATCAGATTATTGAGATGAGCTGAAAGTATTGATGATTTAATTAACTTTACGTTATTAGTTCAACCTTTTAAAACTGATCGATCAAAAAATAATTTTTTTTTCTTAACCATCTAATTATAAACACAAACTTTTTTGATACAAGATAAAAATTCAATATTCATGTTTACTGAATTTAAATTTGCTTCCAGGTAAAATCATCAACTCATTGTTTCAATGAGTGAGAGTAAATTGCTAAAATAATTCAATTCAGTAAAAATGTTATTAATAATCAAAGTTGTAACATCAGTCGTCTCATGATTACCAAACTAAACTTGATATAAATCTTCAATGTTTTTAATTCAATTTGTGATCCTCAAACTAATCATTACTTTTTTTTTCATCTCAATTTTTTCTTCCCCAATTCTCTTTCAACATCTACTCTATCATCATCTCGTTCTTGATGATGATTACTTGCAACACGAATCACAAAATGTACATTAATCAGCTACTTGATAAGCTGTTTCTTCCGAACGGCAACAATTGCATCGCTTTCGGGTATCGTTGTTTACCTGGCCACTTATCTTCCCTTTATGGTTGCTATAACTCTTGAAAATGAAATGTCATATCTTAGTAAACTTGGTTCGGTAAGTAATTAACTGATTGTTATTATTAAATTAACTCTTTTTCTATGACTTAGAGTATTAGATTACCTTGTGGGTTGTAATTGAAATAGAACTTTTTTTTTCTTCATTACGATCCATTATCACATCACCTACTCTCCCTTTCTTATCTTCATCTTCAGCATCATCATCATGTTTCTATCCGGCGGATGATTAGTTACGCTAATTTTTTTCTTCTTCTCTTTCTTTTTCTGGCCTTTTTTCTTTCTTCTACTGATTGTGTTACATTAATCAGCACGAAGTCCATTTTAAATTGCTGAAGATGAGCAACTATTAGTAGTTAGTCTGATTTTTGAATAAATATTTTTCATGTCTGGACAGTTAATTGGTCAATTTAGACTACTTGCTGTTTTTATATTTAATCGATAAATTGACAATTAATCATGCAGGTATAAGAATGTGATGAAAGAAACAATTTAAAATGATAAATGGTCAACTTTACCTGTTGGTTATTTTAATTTGATCAAAATTTCAAAAGTATCAAAAATAAAATGAAAAGATGATGAAAAGATGATGAAGATAAAGAAAGGAAATAATGAAAAAGAAATGAGATGAAGATTAAGATGATTATATGATTCGTGTTTGCTAAATTTGTTTCCGATTTAGTTTAATTTTCATTTATTTTCTTTATCAAATCTGAGCTCATTAACCTTGTTTCAAGATTATGTCTTCTGATATATATGCTTAAATTGCTTAATCTACATTTAATTTAATCGTTTGTCACTTATCATGCAATACTAATCCTCTTTTCGTATTATTTTCATCCTTTTCCATTTAGTGTCTCAGTATGTCTACCTCATTTTGCTTCGGGATAATGTACTTGGCTCGTTATGAGGCTCAAGGAATCGGTATTCATTGGTCAAATGTTTGGCAATCACCAATGTCCGAGGATACGATGAATTTTGCATCATCTGGTTTAATGATGATCTTTGATGGTTGCATATACTTTTTAATTGCTTGGTATATTTCAAATGTTCATCCACGTAAGTTTATTATTAGCGTTACTCACCAAGGAGTTTAGATTAGTCCAGTACTCATTCAATTATAACTAAAACGATTCTCATCTTTTAATTTAATTATCATGATTAGCGGGTCGAAATGGTCATCGTGAACCTTGGTACTTTTTCCTATTACCAAGTTACTGGGGATTAACTAATAAGCGATCAAAAAGTCGAGTTCTAACACCTAATATTCAAGCCAATATTCATGCTTCTGGTGGACAGAAAATGTACTCTCTTGAAAAAGGTTGTCACCAAAAGTCCGGAATGGAGATACACAATTTATTTGTTATTTACAACAAAGGTTCAGCCCGTTCAGAGCATCGAGCTGTTTCAAATCTTAATTTAGAGCTCAAAGAAGGACAAATCACTACACTACTTGGTCGCAATGGTGCGGGTAAAACGACCACTATCAGCGTTCTAACAGGTCAACTTCGACCGACCTCTGGCTCGGTATTTGTTTATGGTTATCCAGTTCCTGATCAATTTGATGAAGCTCGAAAACTTTTAGGTTACTGTCCTCAATACAATGTTCTCTTCGATAACATTACAATTCGTGAACATTTGAAATTTTTCGCCAGTCTTAAAGGTCTTCTACCTGATGATCAAATTGAAGATGATATCGATGCAATACTCCATTCAACTGGCCTTTGGAATATGCAACATGAACTAGCCCGTAATCTGTCTGGTGGACTTGCTCGTCGTCTTTGTGTTGCATTAGCGTTTGTCGGTGGTTCCAAGTTAATCATTCTTGATGAGCCAACAGCAAGTGTTGATCCAGTTGCTCGTCGTTCCATTTGGGATTTAATTGTGAAACAAAAATCTAGTCGAACAGTTTTACTTACAACTCATCATTTAGATGAAGCTGATATTTTAAGTGACCAAGTTTCAGTTATTCATCGAGGTAAATTACTCTGTTCAGGATCACCTTTACTTTTACGTTCAAAGTATGGATGTGGTTATCAGTTGACAGTTTCTCGGCAAAGTTTAAGATCAGAGGATAAGGAATCTAATGACAGTGATTCAGGTCGAGCTTCCAATGAACCACCTCATGGTGTAGATGTTGAAACATCGAGTGACTCGGATAGATTATTAGCTTTCATCAAATGTCTAATACCAAATGCGAGCTTGATTGAAGATCATAATTCAAGTGAGGTTATTTTGGCTCTACCAAGAACCGGACCCGATGGTAGTGTTCATGATTATGCTACATTTTTCCGTTGTTTGGATGCTAATATTCATAATCTTGGTTTTGGTTCCTATGGATTAACATCAACTACCCTGGAAGAAGTTTTTCTAACTCTTTGTAATTCCGAAGAAAGTGGTATTCCTATCAAAGAATCAAACAAATTAGCTTTATCTCGTAAATTAAGTAATCAGAATCAAAAATCTGGTAAATCACTTCCTTCATCTGATCCACATATGCTGAATTCAAATCATGATATGAGCTTACATCTTGATTCAACCTTCAAAGAATTCAACTTGACTTCAGCTATGGTAGTTAACGGTTTCCCTCTTAAAATGATGCAACTCTGGGCACTTCTCTCAAAGCGAGCAGTTCACACTATGAACGATTGGAAATCTTTATTTTGTAACCTCGCTTTACCATGTATCTTCATAGCTTTAGCCATGGGTATGACATGTATTAAACCTCAATTCGCTCCTGATCCAATATTGCCCATTCATCCTGCAGTCTATGGACCATCAACAACCTCATTTTATCATTTACCCGAAGACTCAATAAACTCGGGTGATATATTTGATCAGATTGTTCATCAAATTACAGACTCGAGAATCCGTCGCTCATTCACATGTCCCAAACCTCGCAATGGTTGGAAAGTTTCCAAATGTCCAATCGTTCGTGGTAAACCTTCACTTCCTTCGTTATTATCTAGTGGACAGATAACTGTTCGAGATGAAGTTTGTAAATGTAACTCAACCTGTTCAACTGATTCAACGTCATCAAAACCAATCACTGGATTAATAAATTATGATAACATTGAAGCTCCAATTGAAACAGAAATTGGATTCATTTATAATTTAACATCACTCAGTTTATCACCTAACCAACCATACCGATCAGTTGAACATTATTTGATAAATACGTTCCCATCGTTCAATGATTATCGCTACGGAGGTTTCACCTTTCATCACAAGTCCAAAACCAACAGTAAAGTTAACAAAACCATTAGAAATGGATCAATGATTAAAGTTTGGTTTGACAATAATGGTTTTCATGCTTTGACATCTTATCTTAATACTCTTGACAATGCAATCATGCGTGCGAACCTTGAAGCTCATGGATTACCTTCAGAGGAATACTCAATTACCACATATTCTCATCCATTCCATTTACGCTCAGCTCAATTAGGTGACCAATCGTTGATGCAACGTGCCGGCGATGCTGGAATAGCGCTCATCATTTTGGTTGGTTTTGTTTTTATTCCAACGTCTTTTGTTTTTTATATTGTTCGTGAAAGAACAGCTGAAGAGAAACAATTGCAAAAAATTTTCGGAGTTGGACCAGTTCTCTATTGGTCAGCGGCCATTATCTGGGACTCTCTATCCATCATAGTCTCTGGATTACTTTGCAGTTTGATAATTTACTCTTTCCAAATACCCATTTACACGGCTCGTCTCAATTTACCTGCAATTTTGGTATTACTTTTACTTTTTGGATGGGCAATGACCTCATTGGTTTACCTGATGGAAAAACTTTTCTCTGAATCTTCAATTGCGTTCATGGTTATTTATTGTATTGCACTTTTTATTGGAATCAACACTATGGTCATGAGATTATTAATCGATGTTTTCCAACTTCTTGAGGTCACTTCTTATTGGAGAGACACTTTTAATTCATTTGTTCTCATCTTTCCACCTTACGCACTGATGTCGGGTCTTGTTGATATAACCAAGAATCAACTTTTCGCTGAGATTTATACTCTTTTTGGTCAAGATGCTTATGTTAATCCATTTTCAATGGAAATGTTAGGCAAACATTATATCTACTTGGCTTCTGAAGGAGCAATTCTATTCACAATTAACCTAATACTTGAAATAATTGCCAATTCATCCTTCTTTAACTGGATTCGTTCTCCCAAATCATCACTACCCGCCTCATCCACCTCACTTTCATCATCCTCATCATCATCATCTTCAGTATCTGCCTCATCTGCTCAACAATCAAATACAACAGGAACAACACTCACAACCTCATCATCTTCATCAACATCCTCATCATCAACACTAAATGGTCAAAATTATCCTAATGAAGACTGTGATGTAGCTGAAGAATGTCGACGTGTTACTCGTACTGATGGTTCACTTTTCGATATCCTTCGAGTAATTGAAGTTACCAAAGTATTTAAATCAATGTTTGGTACTCGATTAGCTGTTAACAATATTTCATTTGGTGTTCCAAGAGGCGAATGTTTTGGTCTACTTGGTGTTAATGGAGCAGGTAAAACAACGTTATTCAAAATGTTAACAGGTACCATTCAGCCAACCTCAGGAGCAACATATATAAACAATAAGAGTATCGCAGCAACTTTAAAAAGTAACCTTCGAACCCTTGGTTATTGTCCACAATCAGATGCTCTGGACATGGTGTTAACCCCAAGACAACATTTAATAATCTATGCTCGTCTCCGAGGAATCCCATATCTACATCGATCCCACCTAGTAGCAGAATCATTGGCCAAATTTCAGTTAACCAGTCACGCTGATATGCCAGTATCGGCACTTTCTCGAGGTACTCGACGAAAACTTTGCTTAGCATTAGCCATGTTGGGTAATCCATCGCTTGTTCTCCTCGATGAGCCAACCAGTGGAATGGATCCAATGAGTAGACGATGCCTATGGCAGAATATTCAAGATGCCATAAAAGAGAGAAGATCAATTCTATTAACTTCCCATTCAATGGAAGAATGTGATATACTTTGCTCTCGTCTGGCGATCATGGTAAACGGAAGATTCCGTTGTATTGGTAGTCCCCAATATCTAAAACACAAATTTGGAACGGGTTACACGATAACACTTCGAATCAATGAAACTTATTCAAACTGGACCGATGCAGTTAATTACATGAAACAAAGTTTCCCAACAATTATATTACGAGCTCATCATCACAACATGTTAGAATTCAGTTTACCAACAAACGATATCTTATTATCAGATATTTTCGCTGCTCTTCAATCAGCCATTTCTAGACTTCATTTGCAAGATTTTGCAGTTACACAAACAACACTTGACCAGGTATTTGTTAGCTTCGCCAATCAACAAGTTAACGACTTTCATCATAATCATTCACCATCATCATCAACTTCACCACCATTAACAACAACAGCAACAATTACACCAACTCAACCATCAACACAAATGCCTTCATCTGTTGCAAATAATCATCATTTTGTCCAATCTAGTTTCAACAATACAATTCATCAAATTAATAAACAACAACAACACAATAACCACCAAAATCCTGCCAGCCATCATCCAGTGATAACATATCATTCCCCAAATAAATCATCATCATCATCATCAACAACACCATCATCATATCATTTTTCATCATACACTCATCCCCACCATTTACCAAACAACTCTCATTATCATCTTACCAAAAAATTGGCTTTATACTCATCACCATATCCACCATCTCATCATCTTCATCATCACCAATCCACATTAAAACCAATGTATCACCATTGATTATTTTAATAGGAATCGAACAACAAAATCAAATTTAAAATTTTTAGCTCTGACAATTAAGAAACAAAAAAAAAGTTATTATCACAAACGTACATTTATTTGACCATTGTAATTAATTATCGACCTGAACAAAAAAAACAAAGATCAATATTAAACTAAAGTTATTTGTATAAATTTTCTCACATGAAATTTATCTCTTTGTATACAGTTAACATCAATCCCGTTGACAAAAGTCACAATTAAATTGAGAGAAAATTTCACAACAATCACCACGGAAACAATCAAACTAACAATTTATGTGATTAACCAAAGGGAACAATTAGTTTATTAGCATCAAGAGTAATTGAAATTGTAAATTCTTTCAATATTTTATTCACTTATTGTTAATTTGATGTTTACTGTTTTGTTAAATTGTCTTGTAACCAAGTAACAAGTGAGCAATCAACAGTAGCAATTAACTAAATTGTAAAAGAAAATGATAATTCATTTAGTAGATCAACTTGGATTCCCTTGGTTAATCAATTAATTTATATTGTTGATTATAATTTAAATGTGAATTTCATTAAATATAAGAGAGATACGATTACCTGAAGTGATTTACATAATCCATTGAGAATTAATTTAATCCATTTAGTAGACAATTTAAATTGTTTCCAATGATAAAAAGTGACAATTTAACTTTCTAATAATTTTATATTTATCATCATCATCAGATTCATTAAATTATTTTGTAAATTGTGTTACATGAATAGGAAGTGCAAATGATTAATAACAGCAATTAATTTATCTCTTTCCCTCCTTAATTAATTAATTAAATTGTTGCATCAGTTTTAATCGTCCATCGGCCAAGGTAACATGAGATTAGCAAAAGGCCAGGAAACATCATGAAAAAGCGCATTGTTTTCATGCTCTGAGTTTCCATGAGCTTGAAGTTCAGTTTGTTGTTGTTGTTGTTGGGGTTGTGGTGGCGGTGGTGGTTGTTGTTCATTTGATTTTGTCCCTTTCTCAGATGAGCCAAGAGGCGGCGATTTGGCCTGGCTTTTAGGTCTTTTCACGGGTTCGGGTTCATCTTGCAAATGCTGGAATAGCGAGAGAAAGACAAGATCAAATGAATGATAGTTAATTAGAATTGAAGAAATGACGAGAAAATAATTAATTGCGAAGCGAAAAGTTAACAGAAACTTGTAAATAAAACTACGACATGGAATTGAAAATAATCATGACAATTAGTCTCTCTTTTTAAATTTCGTTTCTGTTTATTATTATCATTTAAAAGAAAAACATTATCATGTTAGTTGATTGTATCGATTTGATATTAATAATTATTTATATTAACTATCTCACATTCTGACTGGCGAAGCGATTAAGCAAGAATTGGAAAGAGAAATGAAGAAGAAGAAAATAAAAAGCAACTGAGAAAAAGTGATGAATGAGAATCAACGTTTATTTACATGAGGAATTAATCCTCGGAACAGCTCCATAGGAACCGGAAATACAATGGTTGAATTTTTCTCAGCAGCGATTGAGCTTAAAGTTTGTAGGTAACGTAATTGAAGAGCTGCAGGTGAATCGTGAATAACTTCAGACGCTTCTCGAAGCGCTTTTGAAGCTCTTTGCTCTCCTTCAGCGGCGATCACCTTGGCTCGAGCTTCTCGAGCAGCTTCGGCTTCCGTAGCCATAGCTCGTTGCAGTTGAACAGGTAAACGAACGTCTTTACTATAAGATGATGATGAAAAGATAAAGTTCATTAACAGAAAATGATAACAAATTAAAGTTAAATCATGAGTTCATTGAATTTACTTTCACTTTCAGTTTCAATCTGATTAATGGTTAATTCACTTTAAACATGAATCTAATCAAGATCAATATCATACATGCACTTTACTTTATATTTATCTTGATTCTTAATCATCTCTGTGTTTGATTTAAAGCTCATTAATCAAAATCAAACCTGATTCAACTAATCAATCTAAGGGAGTCACTTTAATGAGATTTTAACTATCAGTTGTTATCTATCATTTTTTATTTTATGTAAATGGTCATTTGGTCAACCCTTTTGAGTCTGAAACCTTTAGGTTAACATTAATTAGAGTCTCGATTGGGTATTAACATTAACCATTCACTTACATTTCAACTCTTTCCACTTTAACACCCCACGGGTCAGTCGCTTCGTCCAAGCTGGTTTGCATTACATGGCTGATCGACTCGCGTTCTGATAGGATTTCAGATAAATTTTTGGTACCCAGTACATTTCGTAGTGTGGTCGCTGCGAGGAGTCGAGTTGATCGACCATAATCTTCAACGTTCGAAACTGCAATGGCCGCATTACTGATACGATAATAGACAACAGCGTCCACTGCAACGGTCACTGAATCTTTTGATAAAATCTAATGTGAGAATGTGACATAAAGATAGAGAGAGAGAATTAGTTTTGTTTTTTTTGTTCGAAATGTTATTTCTCTTGATTCCTTCAAGTTACCTCTTGAGGTGGAACATCAAATGAAACAGTTCGAAGGTCCACCTTTGTATATGTATCGATACAGGGAATGATGAAAAATATTCCAGGTCCTTTAGCTCCACCGGGTAACAAGCGTCCAAGTCGAAATATTACCGCTCTTTCATATTCTTGGACAACCTGATTGGTGAAAATTGAACATTCGATTGAAATTATATTCGATTAATCAGATTTTTCTTTATTATCTTACCTTAATTGAAAAGAAAAGAGATAAAGGCAAGAAGAGAACGATAATTATCACAGAGAAAATGGTCAAAAGATAAGCACATGTACCAGGACTTTCACCGACAGTGGCTATTGGAATGATAGAAAAGTAAAAAAAAATCGAAAACTCGAAACGTTAGAACATAATAGAAAATCGTGTAGAGAAAAACAAAATTATCGAATTTAAAAAGTTCAAAAGAGGAAAAAAGTTGAATGAAAGAATTGAACATTTAAATCATAGAAGAAAAAAAAATGATTCGAATCTTAATTGAAAGGTAATCATGATTATCTAAGCACAATCTAATTCCCCATACGTGATTAAATTAATTCTCAAGTTAAACTAATTGTGAACACTTTCAAATTGTTTTCCTTAACATTTAAACAACATCCAGAGATTTAATCAATTGCAAATCCAATGAATTATTTATATAAATGGTTACATTTAATACTTTCAATGGATTAAATTGATTAAATTAAATTGAAATGATTGTGAACACACAATTAAAATATAAATAAAAACACAAACCTCAAGTCTTGATTAAAGTCCCATGTCAGTTAATAGCAATTTAAACATTTAAATGATAACAAGTTAAATTTTGATGATTTAATTAAATACTAATCTGATGGGAAGGATTAAATTTTCATGATATTAACTGTATGTTTGTTTTGTTTTCAATTTTCAACACTATTGTTGGTTTAATTAACCTTAACAATTAATTATAATCCATTAAAACAAAAGCTAGTAATAAATTGTGACAGTTGATTGTTGGTTTTCAAAGTAATTAACCAACAAAAAGTTTCAATCGATTAAGTTTAAAGTTAACAAAATTAACTCAGATTCTAAAATGTTTGATGACAATTTAATTGTATTAATTAGACACCAAGTTTTGGTGTCAAGAGGTTAAATTTTTCTTGATTTACAGCAATTAACTTGATTCACTGATGATGATTAAGATTAAGGATTGGCCTGAATTTAAATATTAGCAACATTTTCAACTCTAACTTGATAATGTCAATGACGATGATAATTATGGACTTTCAATGATAAATCATCATGTTGATGATGATCATGTTAGTCTATCATTAAATGGAAACTTAAACATCCAATATAATTAATTGTTAGGTGGAGGTGCATGGATAATGAATGAATTGTAATCTAATATGATATCAACTGATTATCATGAATTGAGAAAAAACAAATTTTCCATATCCAATGGATGAAAAGATTGATTAAGATTTTGATTATTGTTAAAAGTTAACAAACTGTTGTAACAATCAAAAAGTTCATGACGATAATCATGAAGGTGATAAATTGCTGTCCCATGAATGATTAGTAGTATTTTGTTTCCTTCCATTACATTTTGATTATATTACAATTCCTTTTGGTTTCGGACTTAAAGTTACAGGGATACACTCAGAACTTTCAGTTGATTGTTACCTGACATTTACTATCATTTTATATTAACGCAACTTGGATCATTCAATATCAGTCAATTTCCCTGATTCTGGTTATCATCAACTCGGACATTTATTTGACCATTAACTTTGATTGATTTGTTTAATTTTGTTAAAAGTTTCTCTCTGATAAAATATTAAACTCAATCATTGAATCAAATTAAATCAATTGAACGAGCTCAATGTAAATTATAGTAATCAATTGTTTCAAATCATTTGATACTCTCAAAGTTTAGTCTTAATAGATAAACTAATCTTTATAAGTTCACCATGAATCATGTTCATTGTTTTCAATTGAAATTTATCCCTTCAAATGATCATCATCATGATCATTGTAATGTTCAAGTTGATGATCATCATGATCATGTTTATCATTATTATTACAAATCATTGTAAAGATACATCATCATGAAGGTTGAAACATGATTGAAAATTTGCTGGAAACAAAAGTTTTCACCATGATAATGATTCACTTATTGATTCCTAAACTTGCTCATCATTATCGCCATATAATCTCAGACATATATCACTGTCTTATCCGGTAAATTGTAGCTTGACCAGCCACACCCCGTTGACCTAAATCAACAATTTTATTCATATTTAATTTTAATGTTGAAAAAAAGATGAACCAAAGGTAAAATAATGATGGACACTGGTCAAGATTTTCATGTTTCCAGTAAAATTTGCATGTCACCTGAATCCATGAACATGCAACAGTAAATGAAACCTTTCCAGTTCCAGTCTGATGATTAACTTTAACTGATTATCATTAATGTTTATCAAACAATTAATTCCCTGGTGATCAATTAATTTAATCAAAATAAAAGGTAAAATCAGAAACAATCTAATCAATTGAGGATAAAAATCAGGAAGCCAAAAGTTTAACCTTCTTGTTGCAATTGTAACAATAGTTAAATTGTCAACCATTATCACTGGTTAACTGAGCAAAAAAAACCAGTTAATTATCTGTTAATTACAATTAATAGAACCATCAATCAATAAATCAATACAATTTTCAGCTGATTGGAATCCAAAATTTCACGAAAATCTCTTATAACATATTCCGTTTCAATTCAATCAGGAACTTTTCTGTCTCTTCCTCGAACCACTTTCATGACGATTCTCAGAGTGATAATGATGATCACCAGTAGAATGATGAGAAATAAACAAATGCTGAGTTCGAGGTGATTGTTTAGTTTCCATAAACAGGGAGGAGAAAAAAAATCTGTTCCCATGTAAATGTTCAGAACAATTCAGATTAATCGTAAAAATAAGTTTTCGAATCTTTTTTCTCACTCTGCTCAAATGTCTAAAAATATAAATGATACAATAAAAAGTTGGCCTCCAAATAAAATCCATTGTATTTACCTCCTCTCATGGTGATCATCATCATCATCATCATCGTGATTATCATCACCATTTTTATCATTTCTTGTTGATGTGAACTGGACGTGATGGTGACACTTAATAGTTTCCATGGTGGTTGTTGAAATTTGAACCATATTTTTCATATCTCAGTTCACACCGAGTGAGGGAGAGAGAGAGAGATAGATAATAGATAAGTTGAGATTTTTTCAACTGAACTTGCGAGATTCAAAAAAAAATCATTCATTCATGTAGAGTGTCCAACAGCCTTGGTCATCTTATTACTGACATTTGTGCTTTGGAAGGCAGAAAAAGTAACTGGACATCACCTTGGACACTATTATCATGATTGATCAAAAAGACTAAGTTCAGGCTCAATTGTTGGTCAACATTAGAGGTCAATCATGATAAACAATATATAAGAAGAAAACAAAATCAAATTCTAACTGTTCATATCGCGATTGGCGATTTAATCATTGATCAACTATTTAGCCATTTAATTTATTCGATATCAAAGTTGAATGGAAAAAATTTTTCATTCGAAAATGAACAAAAAAAGTTCTATTGACTTGTATTCTGCGAAAGTAATAGTCATCATGATGATGACAATAACCATCATCATGGTAATAATTTCAAGTTTAGTGTGATTTTATTTTCGAGTGTCGAACAATTGATTCTGAGAAAATGATGATGATCAGAGAAAGAAAGAGAATGGAAATAAAATGAATTCTATTCTAACATTTTTTCGGGTTTAAAACTTTTCTCTTCTTTCGAGAATAAGTTCACAACTTGAGAAGAAAAGTTCGACTATTATATTCCATATATATAATATTTCATACTCAACTCACATTCCTTTCAAGTTGAACATTAACGATTTACAATCAGCTTCGAAAAGAACTTTATTTTTTTTTCTTCATCAACTCGAATTGAAAGTTATCATGATGACATTTGAGATGATGAACTTGTATTGGACTTTCACGATACTAAATAGATGAATTGGAATCATGAAAGAAGAAAAAAAAAGTTCTGTAAATATCGTTTACAACGAATAAGTGAAATAATCGTTCAGCTTGAAATCAGAACTTTTACCAACCTGAATACTAACAATCTCCGTCCGATTCTCAGTTTTATTAATAATCGATCATCAGTTGATTTCGTTGTTATAATCACGGAACTGAATAATAATAAATTCGTAATCGGAGGAGATTCATATGAGCTGTAGTTGGATCCATTATGAGCCACCATGGATTCCAGGATCAGAACAAATAATCAGAATGATAATATTGAAATTCATTTTCATCTCTATTATATGAGAATAGTTTTATTTATGATAACTTGAAAGACGAGGAAAAAAATTCCAACTCATGAAATTGTGAGTGTTTTTTTTCTGGGTGAACTTTAGTTTCATGATTATATTTACATAACATTTATGTTTATTTTATCATGAAAATGTCATGATATCAGTAATGATATTTGTCCAACAAAGCTTTTGCTATGTTGTTTGCATGACTGAGAAATTGAATTAATCATAACTTCAGAATCAGATGAAAAAAAAAGGAAAATCAATTCTGCAAAACAAAAACTCAATCATCATGATCATGATCATCTCATGAGTAGTATCTCATGAATTCAATGGAAACCATTAGAAAGACATTGACCATAAGTGTATTATTATCATATGATCAGAGTTAATGATCACTTTCAACTTGACCAATCAACTAATTACTTCAATGAATCTTTATTCCTCTCTCGTGGTCACTTTAGTATAATGATCGTATAAATTTTTTTTCGCAATCAAAAAGTTCAAATTCATGATCCATGGTGATAGTAACGATAGTGATGAATGGACTCTGGGAATTTGTAACTTCTTCATTAATCATTTTTCCATGAGACAATTGGATGTTACCATGTAATTCATTCATTGTCATACTTATATCTTTTATATTCAACGATAAACTCAATTCTCTGAGTCTGAATAATATCACCATGTCTCATGAATATCTTTTGAATTTGTTGAACATGATAAACGGTTACAAAAAGTGTCAGCAATTGTTGACAATGTTAATCAGTTTGCAATTTGAAAATTATGATAACCAAAAAATCAAAAGGAAAACAATTGAAATTGAAATTGAATGAACAATATGATTTATTATGAGAAATCATGATGAATAATAATATAACGTATGATTGATGATAATTCAAGAATCTCAGTGTTCATGATAACCAACATGAGCATGATTTAAGCTTTGATTCATTTTCTGATTTTCAAA